TGAGTATCTATCTAAAAAGATGAGTTATCTGAGTAAAATCTAAAAAAAATTACTTATATAATTGATTATGTCGAGGAATTATTGCACTTGTTCCTTAGAGAGATTTTCATCAAAAAAATCTTCAAGTTTTTTAACAATGTGAGATTGAGCAATGTACTAACCATTTTTTAAATGTATACCTAGAAAATTAATTTGTATGGCACCAATGATCATTTTTTTCTCTGAGAGCATGATTTCATACTTTTGGACAATCATCTAAAACTTATCTAATAACCGTGCATGAAATGTGATATCTAAAAGGAAAAGAAGAATATCATCAGTGTAGATTAGTGCATGCTCTAAAATTAAGGCAAAAATCTTTGTCATCATTTTTTGAAACAATGAAAAAGTTACTTTTAAATCAAAGGGCATAGCTATCCACTAAAAATAGTATTGTAGGATGCAAAATATCATTTTGTATCTGTCCAATGGATGTATACATAATTACCAAAATCTTGCCTTAAGGTCAAACTTTGAGAAAAATTTAGCTTGTGACAGGTTTGCGAAACAATGATTTTCTATTGGAAAGAGAAAACTTATCATCTATAAAGAAAACATTAAGAGACTTACAATTAATCACCAATCTTAATTTTTCAGAAACTTGTTCTGATATTTTATTGACATAAAACACTTTACACACCTATGAAGAATAAGGTTATTTTAATTAATTCTTAAGCTTTGAGCTGTGAACATTTTACAATTGCTAGCTTCATATGATCTAGGTTTATTCTTGAATAACTAGCTTTTATGAGATTGACATTTTCATCTGTCTTGAAGGAAAAGAGAAATAAAAAAATCAAGGTATTGTCAAAATGGATTTTTACACGAAATCTGAATGAACTTTTACTTAAATTCTTGAAACAAATTTGTTTGGATTGTGAAGAGGTTTGAAAGATATTTTCAAGGTTGAAAATAACTTTCAAACTTGACACATTTTTCACTGAGTCTTAAACTTAGTATACTGGTAATAATATCAAAACTAATAATTAGGTTCTTTTGCAAAAGTGAGGATCTTAAAATTCTTTGGGTCATCAACAACCTGAGAATATTTAAAAGGTAATAAGATTGCTAATAAAATCTATAGAGAATACATTCTCGTCAGTGATCTTGAAAAATATTTTCTATTTTTTTCAAAGGGTTTTGGATAAAACAATGTGGTTGACTATAGTTTGGACAACACTTATATTAAAAAAGGTTCTGACCATTATAGAAGAAGAGTATTTATGGCTAAAGATTGGTGCTAGGGCTAAAGGTATTGTTAAAGGTTGAAAGGTTTAGATTTTTTAGAGTTTTTAAATTGTCATGAATTCAATATAATGATCATCTTCTGAGTAGTCATCTATGTCTGAGTCTGAGCTTTCATCATCATATTATCTGATCATGAATAATAATCTTTTAGTCTGTTCATCATCAAAGAAGAAAACTGATTTAAGGTCTTTATTTGAAAGATTAATACCAAATATATTAGTAATATCATGTATCATCTTTACTGACTTTTTGTTTGACTTTGGATAGTTTTTGTAAAATACCTTGGTTTACCACAAAAAAACATATGTTTTCTTTCTTTTTTGGGTTTTTTTTCTTTTTATCAAACTTGAATTTCTAGAATTTTTGGGTTTTTTTATAGCTTTGAAAAGTTTTTTATGTTTGGAAAAATGAGAGCTTTTAGGGGATCTGATCTTTTTAAAGTGTTTTTTTTTTCTTTTAACTGCAAAGACATGAGAAATCTTTAGAAAAACATTTAATATGTAAACATATTGAAGAGTAAGAACATGGTTTATCCATCTTTCTAAAGTTGTTCACCAAATTTGTAATGTATTTGTTCTCTTTGTAAATTTTGTTAAGAGCTCTTATCATCATCTTATAGATTTCATTAAGATTCATTGTTCTCCAATCAAAATACCTTAAGTTCAATTGAGTTCTAGTTTACTAAGCAAGTTTTTTTGAAACAGAGTTGAGAAAAGTTTGCTTTAGGTTGACATCATCAAATTCACTAAGTATGTAAAAATATTAGAAAAAACTATTGATAATGTATGTCAAGGTCTTTTGGATGAAGTGAACAGCACTTTAACTTAAAAATTATTCTCTGAGCTTTTTTAATCTGTGAGTTTGTTGCCACAAAATATTACTGAAAATTGATATACAGCTTTTATGATTGTTGGGTATTAGAGAAATTGTAACTGTTTATATTCACCAATATTATCCTAAAAATTCTTGAGGGTTTCAATCAGTCTTAAAACAAATTTAATTCAAATCATATTCATCGTAACATTGGATTAGAGTTTAATTCAACAAGTTCCCATGCTAAAAATTTTTCAAATCTTGAAGGCCATTTGAAAGGATGAATATCATTAATTATGACCACCGAAAACTTTGATGTCAAAAAAGGGACATGTGTTTGTAGAGAAGAGGGTTGTTGTTGTTTAGCATCTATTACTTTAGGGTTGTGCACTTTAGGGTTATCTTTTGAAACTTCAACTGTTAGTTTTATCATGAAAATTTATGGGAGTATATCATTTAAATCATCATGTTGTTTAAAAGTTTATCATTTTTTATTTGAGATTCTGTTTCATATTTGGTAAGAAAGACATCTTCAATAAAAACTTAAAGAAGATGCTCTTATGCCATTTGTTGTAGCATTTCTACGAAAATATTTAGACTGGGTTAAATCATGAGTTGTGTTGGTGGTTTTGGAAGAGAGGTGATTTCAGGGGTGGGGTTTGAGGAAGTAGCAATGGTGTTTATGCTTAGTTTTGGTTTTGAAGGTTATGAAAATGGTTGTTCTACAATTTTTTTAGGTTTTTGGTCAACTGATTATTTTTCTCTAAATCTGTGAATCCACTTTTTAGTTGTGCTAAATGGAGATTATTCTGGTTGCTCTGACATTAGTGTAAAATATTGTCTTAATTGTGAAGGTACTGATGTAAGGGGAGGTTTGTATTGAAAATGTGTGAAAAAATGTTTATGAGGTGAAGGTGAGGTGTAAGGTTGATATTGAGGTGAAGGTGAGGTGTAAGGTTGATATTGAGGTGAAGCATGGCTTGGTATGGAGTATCATGCATTCTGGTATTAATGGAAGTAAATATACTAAAGGTTGGTGGTTGTTACTGTTGTTTTTTATGGAGTTAATTTTAAAGTATCTGTAAGTTGAAACTTCAGACTTTTCATCTCTTTTTCTCTTTCTGTAAAAGCATGGGTATAACCAATTTTGGCTTTTGCTGTGTATTTGAGTTCTTGATATAGAGTTATTATCCTTGTCTGAATATCAAAAATAATATTCTAAAGGTTAACGAGACTCTGATCAAAATGTTGGCTTACTTGATCTAGCTTGTGCTATATCCTATATAAATATATATTCTGTTGAATAAAGTTCTCTATCTGCCTGTTCAAAATTGCTTCTGCTCGTAAAACACTTTTTTGGTTTTCATGCTTATCTTTGTCAATAAGATTTGAGATTTTTGAAATGTGTTTGTATTGATCTCTATGGAATTCTTAGAAAAGAGAAAATTTTGAATAATAAGAAGATTGATTTGGTTGCATTATATACATTTAAAGTAAAAATTGGTTTGGTTCTAGGTTTTGATGTTTTTGGGGTTTATAGGTTTATGAAAGATTTGGCTTTTCTTTTTTTGGTTAAATGACATAATAATCAAAATTTTTTTGAGAGTTCACCAAGGAGATCAATTTCAGGGTCTCATTTTTCATATTGTTCTTTTAGCTTTTGCTGTGAAGATTTTTTTAAAATTTTTTTTTGTAATCATCATCATCATCAAGAAAGCTTCTATAGTTGTCTTTCTGACATCTTTTGCATCTACAATCAATGTCCCAATAGTAATGGTCTTTTAGATATCTATATGCGTATACAAGTTTTCCTTTAAGTTTGAAATGTGTAACTAATACATTTAGTTCAGCTTGATATGGTTGTATCATAAACTATGTAGGCAAGATATTAGGGTAAGAATCTCTTTTTCTTTGCTGTGATCAAACTCAATTGTCACAGTACCATCTGAGTTTATTTTGTAGGTAAGATCAAAGTGTTAGATTAGTTCATCTTGCTTCAAAATATTTTGGTAACTTATTGTCCATGACTTAGAAAGTAAAGCAACAAGTTTTTCATTTGATATTTACTTTGGAATATGAACACATCTAAGATTTTTATCTGCAGCTTCTAGTTTTACAAATACAGCATCACTAGAGTTAGGTAGAGCCAAATTTGTGGTATGATCTTGAATTTTATATGTCATTGGATAGTGAAGTGTTGCTTGGAATCCTTTTATCTTAGTTCCTACAATTTGCACTTGAACTTTTAAGACATCTAGTAGTGTTAGATCATAAAGAGACATGCTATTGTTTGGAAAAACCATAAAGAAGATAGTTCATGTATTTAGCGTCATCTTAACTATGTCAAGTAATGTTGATAGTCATTGAATTTTGTATCTAGCAAAGCCATCTGGGTACAAGCAAGAATACCATTTTTATGATAAAGTTTTAATGCAATTATGATAGCACCAAAATGAATCTGAGTATATTATTGATCCAATCATTATTGTGAAAATTTTGAAAAATCTTAAGAGTAATAAAATATTATTAAGATATAGTTGAAAGAATACGCTGATCAAAGTTTGAAGATTAAATATTTTTTTGATGCTTGATATTTTAATTTTATTAGAGTTTTTATGGATTTAAAAAAGAAATAGGGATTTACAAGAGGAATATATGTTTCTTGAACTTTTTAATTTCATAAAAAAAATTTAATTTAAAAAAAAAACTTTTTAATTACAGAAAACGAGAATAAAGTAAACTAAACATGAATTTTGACCCAGCAAATCCAACACCATCAAGGAGGAAACCAAACCCAAAGCCATTGCATCAAAACACAAGAGATAACACTATTCTTCGATCACCATGATTTGTTAGATTACTATTTCAAAAAAATATCTTGACTCAGTAGTTTGAAACCACCCAAATTGTATTAGGTGATGTCTAGGGCCTCTTAGCATGAAATATCGCCGTAGGCCGGCATATCTGCAGTGGCAGCAGGCTAAATATGGGTCCAGGACCAACATCTCTTTGGCGCTCGGGCGTGTGAATTGTGATGAAAATTTTGCCAGGGTTTTGTGAAATGTGAAGATTTGGCAAGTCTTTGTAGAGGCAGAAGCAAGGGGTTGGGGTTACAAAGATTGCCACCGACAGTGACAATGTGATCAATTCGACTACCCCTACCACTAGCATGTATCTATGGCCAGGACAGTAAGATAGTACAAAAGAGCCAAAACAAACGATAAAAAAAAAAAGAGAGAACCCTTGGGGCTTTGGGGAAACAGGCATTTGGATGAGTGGGGGACACACCAAACTCATCAATCAAACCCCTTTCAAATTATTGAGTTTGTGACGGAAAGGAAAGAAAAGGAAGCCCCAAATCAAGAAACCCCCCCATTACTCTCTCTTTTTAACTTCTTATATTTTGCTTGGTACAGCAGTAACAGCACTGCATTCTGTTTTGGTCAGTGTATGAAAAAGGAAATCAAAACATAAGCTACCACAAGGATAGGCGATGAGGATCGTGCAGTTTCAACTCTTATCTTACCTCTTTTCCTAGGTCTTCTTAACTACACTAGATCAAAAAGCTGAAGACACGGTGCCGTGGTCGTTGTTTCTCTTTGAAGAAACAAAAAGCCTTCTCTCTTCTGTCTTTCCTTGTTCACTCAAAGAATCATTGAAGATGCCTAGACCAGGTCCAAGACCTTATGTCTGTGAGAGAAGAGCTTGGCACAGTGATAGACACCAACCCATGAGAGGTTCTCTCATTCAAGAAATTATCAGGTCCTTCCCACTCTTACTTTATATATTTCTTTTATTTGCATTTATTTCCCACTCAGTAAATTTGTTTATCACTAGTTTTTTTTTTGTCTTTTTTCTATGTATTTGAATTATTTAGAGTTGTAAATGAGACTCATAGCCCAGCAACTAAGAAGAACAAGGAATGGCAAGAGAAACTCCCTGTTGTTGTCTTAAAAGCAGAAGAAATTATGTATTCCAAAGCCAATTCTGAGGTAAAAATTTTCTTTTTGCCACTGTCAATTACAAACTTAACACTGCTTATACTCCTCTGCTTGGCTATATTTTGTTTCAAATGAAAAGAACAAACCTTGATCGCGATCTTTTCTATTGTTTCCACCCGCTCTTTTCTTGTATATTTTGGAAAACCAAGTAATGTTTTAGGTTTTCTTCTTCTTCTTCTTTAGAGGAGGGGATTGGATTGGTCTTGTTGATCTGTCAAGCTCATATTTTGCGTTCTAATTGTTTCATAGGCTGAGTACATGGACCTTGAAACCCTCCGGAATCGAACAAATGATGCCATTAACACAATCATTAGACGCGATGAGAGTACTGAAACCGGAGAGCTTCTTCAACCTTGTATTGAAGGTACCCTTTCAATTCTGTTGCCTAATTTCCTCCGTTTGAATCTGAAGCCAAATATGCATAAGTGGAATTGGGTCTTTGTTGCTTCTGGGATAATTTCTGGCTTAATTTTGAACAGCACTCGCTTCAAATGTACCTTTTATAAAGTGTATTTTTTCCTGAGATGTGATTTATCTATTTTATTGTTGGTTAGCTGCTCTCAGTTTGGGCTGCACAGCAAGAAGAACCTTGAGGAGCCAACGCAATTCTAATCCAAGATGTTACCTTCACCCAGGCACACAAGAAGCAGAGAACACTACTCAAGGAAATCTCACAACTAACTCACATTGCATGGCTAGTTATTGCTGCTTAATGAAACCCACAACCATGAATATGACTCATTTGGGCCCTGAATCTCAGAAACACATTGCCCAGAACAGTAATTGCACCACTAACAAGTTTCCTTTTGCATCTGAGAATGGTTCTCTTCCTAGTAATAACCAATGCTTACGTATAGAGAAGTATCCTCCTAATCTACATTCAGTTTATCCTCTTTGCTATGGAAACCACCTTAAATTGGATGAACTGCGGCATGGTTTTGGAATCTTCCCTAAGTCACTTTCTAACACTGTAGAGCCTGCTAAGATGGGTTTCATTCATAACCTCTTCTCTTCTGATATGGACTTTTCAAATAAGATGAACCAAACAGATGTTAGAAATACTTCTAACAACCCACATGAAATTGCCTGTGATCTATCCTTGCGGTTGGGCCCGCTTTCAACACCTAGAATGAGTGCTGGAAACGGTCGGCCTCAGGAAATTGAAGACACTGGTTCAACCTTTCTAGAGTGGAACAAGTTCAGTGATCTAACACCACCAATTGATAAATATTTATCTTCATTTCCTAGGAGCAGTAGAGATGACCCCTTGAACTCATCTTCAAGTGAATAGAATTTTGAAGGTGAACATATGAATGTTGATGCAACAATGAGAAAGCGAAAGGCAGTTTATGCTCCACCAGTGGATCAGCAATTTTGTTTGCCTCTGAAGCTTCCTTACAGCCATTTAACTGGAAGAATGGAAAGTGCAGGTTCCTAGACATGGCCTTACATGTTGAAGTCTTTAGACCTTTTGGACCATTGACACGGCCCTAGTGAGTATGTGCTGTTAAAGCCCTTTTTTTTTGCCTTTTTATTTTTTATTTTATTTTATTTTTGTTATAGTTATGTGTTGATGAGCGGTGTGAAAATGTTGCAAGAATCAAGAATGTGAGGTGTAAATATTTGGAGTAAGTTTCAGTTAGATGAGGCAATCATCAACAAACTGACAGAAGAGACCATTGATCCGCAATTTATAAAGAATGTTTTCTTACATGTGTTGTTGCTTGTAGAACTTATAACCCTGTGATTTTCACTTTTGATACACTATTCCTTGTGTCTGCTCGATGCTTTTATTTGATAAAAACACCCTTGAAAACACTAAAGTCGAAAAGCATGAGAATATAGTCATGCTTTGATACTGTTATCTAGGCAACTTAGCCATGTACCTTTTGTGTGATTAGTTCTGCTTAGTTGTGGTTTTGACACATGGATTTTTTATTATCCTTCAGGAAAAGTGGTTCTTTTCTCATCAGCCGGCCTTGAACTTGTCCATTAGAAGAAAAATCTCATTAATGGACAAGTTATCTCACCAGTGGACAACTTGTCCGACTGGCTAGATTGAGAAGTATTGCAAAAGCTAAGAAATGAAAATCACAAAAGCGTTTGTTTGTGGGCCCTTAATACTTGGTCCATTAGGGGGGGGTAGAAATCATTAATGAATCGCTTTTTCTTTGTTTGAGTTAGTGGGTTTGTGGCTAATGGTTCTGTTGCACTGGCAGCCATTGGTGGGGTCAGATTCTAAGCTTGCTTGTTTTCAAGTTTCAAACCTTGATTGTGATGGAGAATATGAACCTTTCTGATTATGTAATTTTTATCTTTAAAAAAGCTTAGGGAAAGATCTTCCAAAGTATGAACGAAGGTTTAAAGGTTCTTGCCATCAGAGTGTAAAATGACCGACTCTTGTTGCTTCAAGTTCATCTATGTGAGATTGCAATTGGGAACCTCAGGCATCTTTGAAGGTTGATATTGAGAAGATCGACGAATCCCCAGCTAACAAAGTTCAGCATGCTGTTTGCTGTACACAATTGAGACTCACATCAAGGGAAAGCGCTGCTCATATCACATGTTCTACTTATTTTATGGAGCATAGTATCAAAATGGGAGCAAAATTGATCCTACTCTTGGTTGGAAAGTATAAATGAACGAAAGCTATTGATGGGGCGATACTGCTTCATGATTTGCTGCAGTATGATCATTTATTCAAACGACCTAAACATAACCGAATTCAGGTAGCGGTACAAAACTGAAAGTATTCTGTAACTGAGTTATATTTTGTGGAAAAATTAGTGTACAATTTGTCTTAGTCACAAACGCTCTTGGCGTTACAAAAGGGGGTCAGTTAAAGAAGTTGCAGAACAAACAGTTTAGGGGGAGGAAGAAGAAGACGAGCTATAATGAAAATCAATTAGCAGTTCTGTTTCTTCTAAGCCTGCCTAGTTCTTTCGCGGCATTCCCATACATCAAAGCTCACCCAAAGAATCAATGATGTAATACGCGTTTGATTCAACCTTCAACACAAAGATATGATCGTTCCAGCTGACAATATAAACCCTCGGCCCTCGGCTCGTAATCACCTCTGTTGCTCTACTTATTTCATTCCGAATCTCATTAAAAGTCATGGCACCCTTTAAGCACTCAAAACTTTTCGGGGCTAAAAAACCCAGTAAAAGATTTGCCTTGCAAGACTGTTACAGGCCTGAGATCATCTTCCAAAACAGTCTCAAGATAAAAATGTTTATCAGGGAAGGAATTCTTATAACCTTAAACTTTGCAAGACACTGGAAAAAAAAAAACATGCAAGATAAAGAACCTGCCGTCCCTACTGATCCCTCTCCAAATCAAAGAAAACCAAATGTAAAAAAAAAAGGTGGAACAAAAGATTGATAAGAGAGGAATAAACCGCTGTGGAAGATCCACGAAATCATTAGCAAACCCGGCTGCCATGTGAGAAACACATGAAATGCTGTGTTTTTTGCCGTGTGCGTCGATCGAGATCAAATGATGCAAAAACCCCATTGGTGGCAAATTAGGCCAACGTATTGACTTTGGCCAACAGCCTAAGCAAAGAAAAAAAACAACATTTCACGTTTTTCATTATTATCAATGGACAGAGGGAGCTGAGTGATCCCGCGAATAAACATCGGATTGTCCCCGACATGAAACAAATAATTTCCTTGCCGGCATTAAATTGTTTAGGAACCTTTGACTAGTTGACCACTCTTTTGGCTTTCCTTTACTCTTGGTGAACTCAGCCGCAGCCAATCACCACACTTTACCTCGAAAGTTGAACCTTTTTCCGCTAAACTCTGTGAACCGCTCATTTGAAACTGTCCGCAGACGAAGATGAGTTCATCAGCAGGCTTGAGTTCCTCTTCCTTGTCTTCGTCCTCTACTTTCACTTCATCTAAATTTAAATCCCAATTTCCCTCTGTTTCACGACGTTACTCTCTCCTAACGGTCGAATCTCGCGCCAGGCCATTCACAGCTTGTTCTTCCACCACCCACAACACCTCAGGTATTAAAGGTAGAAAAAGTGGGATTAAACTTTTAATCTTTTACACTAATTTTGCTTTTTAAAATGTCTTAAATCACAGGAAAAATTCATCATTGCAGTTTGAGTAGGAGGAGAGGGCTGGCTTTTACAGCAACGTTGCCGTTTCTTCTTCCTCTGCATGAATTTATCGACGATGTTAGTGCTAAGGCAGTTGAGTAAGTTCTAAGTCCTTGTTTGGTTTTCCGAATTTGCTTTTAGATTTTCAATTGTAAACGATATTCTTTATTGATATTGAAGGTCGGGTCAGAGTGAGTATCTGCGTATAAAGGAAGAGATAAGGAAAGTAGTAACCAAGGGAAAGGCTGCCGGTGTTCTTCGTTTAGTATTTCATGATGCAGGAACCTTTGAAATGGATGAAAATTCAGGTACCAAAACTTGCCAAATTACTTGGTAATAGGAATTCAGAAGAATTTAAGTTTGGGTTTATGTTACTTGATCGATTTGAATTCTGATTTGTCTGCATGCTCGTTTACTAGAAGTTTTGAAACAATGAAGTTACTATTATTTTTAATTGTTAATACAGGTGGTATGAATGGTTCTATAATTTGCGAACTCGAAAGGCCTGAAAATGCCGGCCTCAACAAGTCTCTGAAGGCACTCTCTCTGTTTCTTTCTTTCTACATATGTACTTTTGGCTTTTGCTTTCCTCTTATGTTCTTAAGCTTTACGTGGATACATTGTTGTTTAGGTTCTAGAGAAAGCAAAGAAAGAAGTTGATGCAATACAATCAGGTTTTTCTTTCTGAAACATCTGATGAAAAGGTTTTGACGGAAATGGATGGTATGTAACCATGCTAAGATGTTGTGGATTTTTTTTCCTTTATTAGTATCATGGGCAGACATGATTGCTGTGGGTGGAGCTGAAGCAGTTTCTGTTTGTGGAGGTCCGAAAATCCATGTTGCATTAGGCAGACTAGATTCGGCGTAAGCAGCTAGCTTTGACCTTATACAATGGCATGGCTTAAATAATACAGAACTTAATATCTGATCAACTAGGTTTTCACTTTTCAAGGATGTTTTGACAAGATAAAACCTGGACACCTGCAATTATTACGGAATTACCTAATAATCTTTAGTTTTTAATTCTCTGCAGTATTGACATGGAGCACTGACTTATTTCTAGTTAGATCTGGTGGTATCTACTTGAGATTTTACTGCCCCATTACTGATGGAGAGTATTCGATGTAGGGAGCCAGATCCTGAAGGGAAGCTTCCCCAAGAATCTCTGGATGCTTCTGGCTTAAAGCAATGTTTTCAGCGAAAGGGCTTCTCGTGAGTTTTAGCTAGCAAACATCCTTTTCCATTTTCATGCTCCATTTTCAACACCATTGGATATCCATAAATCAATTTTCTATGATTTGTGCTGGATTTTAATCATCAGCAACATAGCTTATTTTTGCCACGATATCTTGACATTATAACACAAATGGATGGATCTTCCCCATGAAAATTGATTTTTTTTTCCCACAAGAACTTAAGGACATAGGCAAGAAGTTTTGATAGCTATTATCTATTTAAAATCAATGAAGTCATGGCTTAATTGTAAACATCATGTTTGACGAGATACATGGTATGTTGTTTTCTTTTTTGCAGAACACAGGAACTAGTTGCTCTATCTGGGGCTCACACTCTCGGGAGTAAAGGTTTTGGAAGTCCAGTTGCTTTTGATAACTCATACTTCAAAATTCTTCTGGAGAAGCCCTGGAAGTCTTCAGGTACATAACTCAACACCACTCATATTTATATGAATACTTTTATTTCTTTGTATTCTTTTCCTTGTTTTCTATCCGACAAACTTAAGATATTGGCTTTGGAAAAATGCTTGATGCTAGAGATATTCCAAATGATAGTTGCCAATAAATACAAATATATTCTATAAATGCTGATTATGAAGGCACTGTTAGCCCTTGTATACTTCCCTTGTTCACAAAAATAATACTGTTAAATGATACCTAAAGATGATAGTATTGGAACATGTAGCCCTTCATATGGATTTGAGCTGGGCCTTCATTTGCTTAAAGCATCAAGGGACTCTCTCTTCCCTCTAATACTTTTATCTTTTACTTTGAGTTAGTGAATTACTGATACATTTATATTTTGACTCATAAGTGATTCTGTTATTTCTGTACTGATTATATTTTTGCATGTAGCTGGAATGTCAAGCATGATTGGGCTTCCTTCTGATCATGCCATTGTAGAGGATGACGAATGCTTAAGGTTTGTCTTTGAAAATCCTCTTAAATTGCCAATTTAGTTGTTATACTCTCACTTGAAATTTTCTTTTAATAGAGTTACTAGTATTAAGCCTAACTTGGGTTTAGGGCTTTTTTTAAAGAACATTTAATGCAATTCTTGTCGGCAAGCCAATAAAGGGCACCAAGGACTGAGGGCGTTTGTTTGGAAAAGAACACTTGCATCCATTTAAAATATTTGTTATTGTACTCAACTAACGGTGCTTGTCTGACGCCACAGGTGGATCACAAAATATGCAGACAATCAGAATATGTTCTTTGAGGATTTTAAGAATGCTTATATTAAACTGGTGAATTCTGGTGCAAGGTGGAAAATCAAGTGATGATTTTGGAAGATCAACATTAGGATACAGTTGTGTTTACAGAATATGATTATGAGAAAGAAATGCCTTTTATGTTGTTAGATATGATTGACGAGTATCCGAAGGACAGTCATTGTATTTTAGGTTTTAAGAGCAGTTAGGGACTTCTGGATGTGGAGCCAACAGAATGTTTAAATTCAGAAAATAAAGCCTTGCCATTTCTTTCTGTTTGTTTTTGTATATTCGTTTGTTTCCAGTACTTCATATTTATATCAGGAGGTGATTAGGTATCATGATTTGAATGGAAGAGATATATGTTGACGGGTAATCTTTCTTTGATTTTGAGATTGCTTTGGGCTCCTCTAATGAGGTTCTCATCCTGAATTTTGTAGACCTTCAAGCGGCAAATGGCCTAAACTTCAAAATTGAGGACCCAGAAAACTTGAAACTTCTAAAATCTCTTAAAACTCACTGTTGGGGCATAGGATTGGTGAATTTCGCATACAACTAATGCACTGTAATGCAAATTTTGTACATCAGTGGTAATGATTTGTGGGGCAGAGAGTAAGACCAAATGCACAAAACTATAAAAGGGTTAGCATTTTTTTACCCAGAAGCTCAAGTTTATGTATGTGATCAGTGATGACTGATGACCAAACATAATTTCCAAAAAATGAGAAGAAAGATTTGATATAAACACAGTGAGAAGAAAGTGTATAGACATTGACAAAACTGTGCAAAAAGATCAACGTGAGGAATAAGCCTTCAAAATAGTCAAGAAAGCATTATTATTCTCTGTCTATCCGCTATGGCCCTTCCCATCCAATTTTCACATGGGACAGTTTACGAGGGACCAAGGGCCTAATGTTTGATGTCCCTCCAAAGACAGTGACTTTCTCCAAGCTTTTTTTCTAACAGTGATGATGCCTGACAAAGTTTGTGTTCATACTTCTCAGTTTATCCTATATTTCCACCATCCAAATCTAATGCCTAACTGTTTTATCTCTATCTTATTGCTTTCTCAGCTCCAATAAATATAGTATGTATCGTTTATCTGCTTATTAATTGGTTGATAGTTCTATTCTTTACTCAAATGATTTTGATAGGGCTGATGTTATATCGATTTCACAGTTTGTCATCACTATTGTGTGCGCGTGCACTCTCTAGCGCAATTATTGAAAGATAATTAGAAATATTATTATTATTATTAAAAAATGTGATAGATAATATTCTTTATATTTTAATGTTGGAAGAGTAAAATAAACTTTTTTTTTCTTAAGTTAATTTAGTTGATAAGTAAAAATATTTTGATTATTTTAATCGAGTTGACATATTAAATAAATTTAAAATCTCATTGTTACCACTTCCAACAATTTATAAGATAAGTATTTAAAATATTAACTTGTTATATCTTGAATGGATAATTAATTATCAATTTAATTCAAGTTTATTAGATTAATCTTAATCTTTTATGTTGACTTTTTATCTTAAACTTATAGTTTTCCATCACACAAATATAAATAGTTCTATCTAAGTATCTATAATCTATATTGAATTCTTAAGTCTTAAGGTTTTTATTTCATTTTTTTTTAATTTTTAAATCGATCTTTAAGAATATAAACGTTATAAGTTATCTCATTAAAATCATCTCTAGTATTTGATTCTTTCTTACCTTTATTAAATTAAATAATAAAAAAAATAAAAATTATGTAGTTAAAAGACGAATTAAAAATCATGTTAGCTGAGTTCGATCCGCCATCCTCCCTCATTTGCAAAAAAGTAAAAATAAAATAAGAAGAATGAAAAGAGAAATTTGGGCCGGGCAGGCATTACAGCTTCAAGGGTGGCCGCCTCTGTTGCTTCTACAGTCCGCAAAAGATTTTCCTTTTCTGAATCCTCTCTTAAGAGGGACAATTCTAGAGAGGGCAAAATCACCCGAACTCGTCGGGTTTCGATCCGATCTAATTTTTTAAGGTTAGTTTTTTTTAAAAAAAATTAGATATCGGATCGGATAGAGTAAAAAAAAAATTTTGGGTTCGGGTCGGAGTCGGGTTTTAAGCAAACCCGACCCTGTCCGACCCGATATATATAAAAAAATTATTTTTTAATTTTATTTAATTATATATATTTTTATATTATTTAATTTTATATTTTTATTTAAAATAATATTTTATTAATTTCGAGTCGGATCGAATCGGATTTGATTTTATACAATATCGGATCAATCGGTCGGATTCGGTATTAAAAATAAAAAAAATTATCGGATCGGATACATATTCGTGTATTATATACTTAAAATCAAGTCAAATTCGAGACGAACAAAAATCCGTTCCGACCCGACCCGTTGCCATCCTTAGACAATTCTCAAGGAAACTCTTTTCCACTCCTATCTCCTTCGATCATTTTCCTACTTGCTTAAGATATAATTACTCCCAATAATAATTATTTATTTTGATACATATGCATCAGTTGCTGGCCGCACAAGCTTTTTATTTATTTATTTTTTTTTTTGGTTTCAAGCTTTTTATTTTTGTTATGATAATGAGGATGACTTTGGAGTAAAAATTCTCACATTTTTAGATTAATTGCTAATAAAAGTTATTTTTTTATGTAAAAGTGTTTATTCATAGATTCGATTAATTTTGAATCAATTTATTTAAAATTAAATTAATAAAATTATTTTATTTTATTTTTATTAATCAAATTAAATTTATTAATTTTAAAAATTAATCAATTTAATTTAATTTAATATGTTTGATTAATTTTTTTGATTAACCAAAAAATAAATATATTTAAATTAAATTATATTTTAAACTTTTAATTTTTATATTTAAACAAATTAAATAAAATTATCTAATAAAATATTCAAAAATTAAAATATTATGTTAAAAATTTTAATAATTTATAAAATAAAATAATATATTTCATATATTTTTTATTGAAAATTTTCTTAAATTATTTTTATTTACTAATCAAAATTAATTTAATGACCAACTAATTAAATCAATTAAATTGATTCAGATTAATTCAATTAAAATCAAATTATGAATATCCCTACTCTTAATACTTGGATTTATGTTTTTTGGATAGTGTATTTTTTTTCCCATCTGGTTTTGCAATATTGATTAAAAGAATTGTGATTATTGATGCAAGACTGTTTTAATTGGTAAATTTATTCGTTTTGATAATGATTGTTATTTGTCGATGTACAATTTGGGTGTAATGTACAAAAAAAAATATACTAAAAGAAAAGAAAATTTGAAATAACTTGAAAATTTTTTTCTTTAGGTTCATCAAGATGCAAAAATATGAAATATTTTCCAACTACTAGTGGACAATGGTTGCGTTAGCCAAGCAACTGGGTTAGATAAGCGTGAAAGAGAAACCCAAGACCAGACCTAACCTGGACATGGCACGAGTTAGGAGAAAAAATGACCAAGAAGGCACGAACTGGGACTCCAAAAGGGACCCAGTTTCCACGTGCAAATGCTAGGGGATGTACCCAATTAGGAAGGGCAGGGGAACATGCATTTATAAGCTCTCAGCCTCTCACTGCTCTTGCACCATTTGCCACCTCAATCCTCGATTCCTCATTTGGTCATTCACCTTCTGCCTCTCTCACGTGCTTCTCCCGATTTGCACCTACCATGTGGGTCATCCATCCCTTTGAACTTTGGGATTTTTTTAAATATTATTTTAATTTAATAGTAATATTTTTTATCAATACATAAAAATTATTACATTAACTATCAAATATATATGCTCAATATATAAAATTTTAGATTGTATTTTATTATTATTGACCTGTCATATGTTATCCAAATCAAATTATGTATGCTGACATTCAAATTCTTTCCACATGATATGATTGTGTTCTCATTTGAACAATTCAAATGACTCATTCATGAATTGAATTTTCGATATTTTCAACCGATTATATTTTAAAACAGTTTATATTTGGAGGTTGTAAATTTAAAAAAAATTATATGCGTAATATTTTTTTATCAGATAAAAAATAAAATTAAAAAAAAAACTTTGAGATTTTCAACTTTAGCTGTAATTTTCTCAATATTTATTTTGCAAAAAAAAAAAATTAAGAACTAAAAGTACCATATGAACGATAACTACAAATACTCTTTCACCTTAAGTCTTATTTAAAGAACTACTAAACCAAAGTTGTTTCTTTACTTCAAAATCTTCTAAATAATACGAGTATGGATGGAAATTGAAAAATACTTATCTTTCTTTTTACCGGAATCTAATTGTATATAAGCAAATTACTCGTTTAGGATAATTGAATGAAAAAGCTTTCTATATTCATATTCAATAGAATTAAGAAGCTGATTATTCATCAAATACACGTGAAATCATCATCTTAAATGAGATTGATAAAATTAATAACGTCCAATGTTGACAAAAACCAAACATAAATTGTGGCTGTGCCCAACTTTGCTTAAAAGCGTTTCTGCCTTATCATTCAGCCATTTAGGTGAAGCAGTTTATTATAATTTATAAGCAGCGCAAATCCTGTGGTTTGACTATAATTGGTTTAAACTAATAATATTCCATTGTACCATAATTATTAAAGTGCACTTAAAGCTAAGATTTTTTTTTTTCAAAACTAAGAAAAAAAAAAAACACTTAAACAAACACTTGGCTATCATTTTCTTATATTAAAATAAATATTGCAGTTAAAATTTCAATTTCTGATATTTAAAATTTAAATTTATTATATGTAAATTTTAAAAATTATATATAAAAAATTATTTAATTATTCATAATTATAATTATTAATTTTGTTTTAGTATAGTCATATTAATTGGCATGCTTCAATTATATTAAAATACAATATATTTAAGGATAATTTTTTATATCAAATTTGATATCGAGTAATATTGATTGTTTTTATATCAAATTTGGTATCGAGTAATATTGATTGTTTTCATTAGTTTCAATTTGTTTCAGTGAATTTTGGTAGAATAACATATTTCGATTGGTACGTGAATGTAAAATATATTTTGTAATTTTTAACTTATCTTTTGTTATTTAATTATTTTTAATCTAATAAAAATAAAATTAATTGATAAAATAATCATTAAAATTTGAGTTTCTTTATTTTTTTTTATTTTAAATTGTTTTTATATACTTTATTTTTCAAACCAAAATTTATAATTTTATAAATTATTTTTTCAAACCAAAGTTTATAAGTATTTTAATTTTTTTCAAGAAAACAATTATACTCCTTTTATAAAGTTTAACAATAATAAAGTTTTGATTTTTTTTTAATTTTTTAATTTTTATCTTAATATATATATGAAAAAATATTTATTTAAATATCATATAATCAAATTAAATACATAAAAATATCGTAACATTTTTATGATATTATTTTTTATATTTGTAAACTTATTTATTTGATTTTAATATATTGTATATTTATTTTGTGACTTATTAATAATATTATAATGTACAAGTTCATGTATGTTTATAAATATATTTGTATTAAATAAAAAATTTTGAAATAATATATCAAAACAATTGATATAAATATATATCATATATTTTTTTTTAAATTAAAATTCTATCTGATATGATATTAACAACTTTGATCACAATAATAGGAATGTAATTAGATTGAAATTCAAAATTCTTTAGTCGGTATTTCGCTAAGAAAAAAAAAAAAAACAGACAACTTTTTGTAACTTTTGAGTCTAGACTATTAAACGAAATATGGGTAAAGGGCAATAGGACATGATAGAGTTTTTGTTATAATGTCCAATAAAAATAAATTGGAAACATAAGAAAATAATAATTAAATATAAAAATTATTTTTTTAAAGTATGACTACATCAAACAAAAAATTATAATATTTTATATAGATATAAAAAAATTGATTTGTTCATAAATCAAGCGACTCGTTAAACTTATATAAATCAAAATTTTAACAATATTTCTAGTTTTAATTCATGAATATTTTTAAGTAGAGTTCTCTTTTTTTGAATATGAAAATTTTTTTTTGTCATATTTGATATTTGAGAAAGCTTGAGATTGAATTCATGAATGAATTTTATTTACATATTTGATTTAATAATTAAAAATAAAAAATAACTTATTCTTTAATCTTTAATAACAAATTACAATTGTTTTACTATGAGTAAATTTTGGATTATTCATATATGTAAGTCTTATATGGATTTAATATGCATATTTATGTAAAATGTGGACTTAGTTTTAAATGATTTTTATAAGGGGGCTGAACTTATCAAAATCCAAAATAAAAAACCTGTATTTTATTCATTTAACAATTTAGATCGAATTGAAGTGCAAAATCTGCAACGGTTTACACTTTTTAAAGTATAAAAAAATTGTTATCAATAAGTGATTAGTTCAATTAGTTAAGTTTATTTTTTTCGACAAAAGATTATAGATTTGAATTTTGTTGATGATTATTTGTTAGAGTCATCTCGAATACACAATCTATAATCATTCATTTTAAATTGTTAAATACGACACATTTTATTTTGATTTGAAAGATTAAATAATTTATTTACTTCGATTTTTTTTTACCAAAAAAAAAAGTCCCCAGTTTCAAATTTGTTATGCTTTTGCTCGAGCATTGGCATCGTCATGCCTTAATCAAAACCATTGACTCAAACCAGGCGCTTGCCTTTCCAACCATGGGCGTTTAATTTTTTTAGGATACAATTGTAAAATTCAACCTTAAATTAAAGCCTCAATTTCAAAATTTTCAAAAATTCGTTGACCCAATTTTAATTTTCTAAAAATCCAAGTACTCATTGTCCGAAATTCCAAGAAAGAAAAGAAAAAATACGTATCAAAACCGTATTTTGTTTCGTAATTTCTTTTAAAAGAGAGTGACCTGGAAATGGATTTGAAAGCCGCTGTTATAAAAGACTTTTCAACCTTCAAATACAACTTTCAAACAAGAAAACAAAAACCAAAAAGAAAGAAATTATAAAAAAATCAAAATTTCAAATTTCAAATTCCCATTATTTTATTTTGTTTTTATTTTTATTTTTGAGATCTTCCTGTTTAGAGCCCTAGATCCTCTAATCTTAACTGTTTGTCTTACTATCTTCTTTCTCAGATCCTTTTGATTTTCTTCGCTAATTTCTCTCGTTAACCTTCTCGGCGGCTTCATGGAATTTTGATTTATCGCACGCTTGCCGAGGTAAGAAAGAAAATATGTAAAACTTATTCTTTTCTTTTTTGTTTTTAAATTATTGTCTGTTTGTTTCCTGAGAAGGACCGAGGGATTTCATGTTTGTTTTATGGTAAAGAGTAGATCAATGTGAAGCGAAATGTGTTAGTTGCTTGGTGGCGTTGAAGATCTCTGTTCTCATTGGAGCTTTACTCTACTTAAAGCATTTGTTTTACTCGGTTTTTCACTGATTCGATTCCGCTTTTTTAAAATTTAAAAGCAACCGCTGTTGTTTTCAATTCGATTTTTGTTCACTATTTATCTGCAAATATAAGATCTAATTTAGTGTTTTTTTGGTAATTTTTCTCAAAATTTTTAGCTACAAAGAATAATACGAATGCGTTGAATATTTTTGAAAAATCGACAGTTACTCTTACTTATCATTTTGACGTTGAAATTGACCAATGAAAATTAGTAAGTATTATATAATTTGTAATTGCTGTTAGGGTTTGAGAATTTTGAATTAGTGAAAGTGTTAATTCCTTTTCCATTGTTTGTTTGTAATTTGGCTTACGCTTTTGTTTGTTTTATTCTTATTAAAGTGTATGATGGCTTCGGATAATTTCTTGTCGGTGGATGGGCTTGAGGTGGCCCATCAAAATGGTGTTTATCCACAACTTCGAGTGTCTAGGGACGAGAGTGGTATTTTGGATAATGTGAATGGGAATGTTGAAGAAACCATTGAGACTTATTTGCAGAATGGAAGGGATGACAATGGAACAACTGGGGAAGCTAGAGAAGGATTGAATGACTGTGTGGAAAGCAATGGATTGACTGATTCTAAGGTAGTAGGTCTTGCATTCTGTTTGAGTGCTTTTGTTAATTACCCTTAGTTTGATTTCATTTTCATGAGTGTGTCTGTCTTACAGGAAGGGGAAGTAAAAGGTAGTGTGAAACAATCTAAACCTCAGAATGTTCGAGGCAAGACCAAGAATGAGAAGCCTTTTGGTCCCAAAAATGTTTCTTCAGCTTTAGCGAAGAAAAGTAAGGATGAAAAAAGTGCAGGGGTGACATTGACAGCTTCGAAAGGTGGTTCTGTTGCTACAAGTTCAAGTCCGAAACATCCTCTTAAAAGTAGAACATTTAATGAAAGACAAGCCAATTCATCCAAGGTTGGAGTTGATAGTACTCCTGATTTCATTTTCTGTGCATTTTTCCGTTGGTCTTTTTCTTTTTTGTTATCACTGTTCCTGCCTTTCTGATTATTGCTGTTCCTCTCGGCTTCTGACAGCATTCTGAAAAACCTGATGCAGCCTTCTCTGAAGGCACTATGTACGTACTACTTCTGCTTATGTTGGAGTTTCTTTTATCTTTCTTTTTTTCATGCAGCCTTTTGCCCTTTTTAATGATTTTGTTAACCGAGAGGGAAGGCTCTTAGTGGCCATCGTTATCTGTTTAATTTCCTCTGAAAGACTTTATGTGCTAGATTATGACAGATTATTCCTCCTGCCATTTCTGAACTGTTCTATTGTGTATTACAGGGAAAAACCCAAGCTGCAGCCTCTGAAGAAAGGACCTCTTAATAATGATGAAGGAGACACAGAGTCCACGTATCCTTTTCAGTTTGAAACTTTTTGTTATTACTTTCTGTTTGGGGCTATGGTTTGAAATGGCTTTCTATTTTAGTTTCCTTTGTACTCTTGTCTGCAGGTTTCTAATTTTTACCTGACATGTTTTTGTTTGTCCTTAATTGCTTTATGGAAGCCCTACGGCAGCTGATGCCAAAGCTCGTAAGCTTGGTACCCTTCCAAAATATAGTTTCAGTTTCAAGTGTGATGAACGGGCTGAGAAAAGGAAAGAGGTTGGTGCTTTCTATTATATTGTTGAGATTTTACTATTCTTACAGCACTTTTATTTAACTTCTAAGTCTTCACCATTGTGTTGTGCAGTTCTACACTAAACTTGAGGAAAAGATTCAGGCAATGGAAGTAGAAAGGAGCAACTTGCAAGCCAAGTCGAAGGTGTTATTTTGTGAATGTGATGGTTTACTGTCCAGAATTGTTTCTTTCTTATCATAATGATATTTCAATTTTCTGCCAGGAAACTCAAGAAGCTGAGATTAAGATGTTTAGGAAGAGTTTGAACTTTAAAGCAACTCCAATGCCAAGCTTCTATCGGGAACCTCCACCTCCTAAGGTGGAATTAAAAAAGGTTAGTTGAATTTCTGATGTTTAAAATACTAGATGATCCTTTGAATATAGAAATTTGCATAGGCATAATCGTCACTGGTTTTCTCTTATTTCTTTCGGAGGGTGGGGGAGGGGACTGAAATGCCAAACATGTAGTTGCCAAGGTTGCTTTTCAAGGTTTTATCATTAGGTTTGCCATCTTTTTCATATGCATTTGTTAATCAGGCATTTGCAAATGTATCTGCTCATCCTACAAGAGCCACTTTCTTTTCTGCAAAATGCTTTTAGACTGTTGAGTTATAACAACTTGAAGCTGATACATTTAACTTATAACAACTTGAACTGGTTAAAAATTAAATTGATGTTGTGATAATTAGTGAAAGACTTTCTGAATGAACCTGAGAGCAAAAAATTGATATATTGCAGATGTGAGGTTGAACTTTGAAGGGATAAATTTTCTATAGTCTGTCATACTCGATGTACCTTGTTTTATGTTGTAAGATATGAAATTAGGTGCCTTTCCCTATAATTTTCTATATTCTGACATACTCGATGTATTATGTTATAAGGCTTTAGTGCTTTTTATCTTTTTCTCTATCTGCTATATGGCAGCGATGAATTTCTCAAGTTTGCAACTTTGATCTTTTTCTGTTACCTGGATGCAGATACCACCAACAAGAGCTAAATCTCCAAAGCTTGGTCGAAGAAAAAGCTCAACTCCTTCAGACTTTGATTGTAACAGCAATAGTGGCCATGAATCAGGCCGGCTAAGTCTAGATGAGAAAGCATCTCAGAGCTTCTCTGCCAAAGTAATTTCTCCTGTCCATGCAAAGAAGCCACAGCGGAAATCACTTCCCAAACTGCCTTCTCAGAAGGCCAGTTTGTCCAGTGCAACAAATGAGGAAAAGACATCTAAGGCATCCAATCAGGGAAAGGTATCCTCATCTACAGCAACTACTGAGGGAAAGATAGCCTCATCTAAAGCAACAAACGAGGAGAATACCACCTTGTCTGTTTTGACAAATGAAGAATTATCTCCAGTCCAACAGCAGGAGGCAGCTTCTACAGCTGATTCAGGTGGAAGTCAGCTCGACATGGATCGAGGACCATTGATTGGAGAGCAAGGACAGCTGGACTTTGTACAAGAGTCCATTGCACTGGAGCATTAAGCATGACAATGGTATTAAGTGGATGTTCATATACAAAGCTCTTGACCTCATTTTGCCTAAATAAGGACGTCTAAGACTGAATTATTTGATGATCAAGGCATGATAAATTCTACATTACAGGGTTATGATATTGTCTTCTCCAATATCCAGTAGCTTTGGTTGCTTCGTGTGTTGCTTGCAATGGTTGCTGGGCTTGTTAGAATTCTGCATTCCTGTTTGCAGCACTGTATGTCAATCTTTTACCAAGTTGTCCTAATTTATGTTGTTTAAGGGGGGCTTTTTGAATATATTTTGAAAAATTTTGGAGTCGTCTGCTGATGCTGTTAGATAATCCATAATCGAAAAGGGTCTGTCCAAACCTGCTGAACAAGTTGGTATTGTGAATTAATTCTATTTCTACAATGTGTAAATGCTTTCCGTTTATTCTATGAAATTAGTGCCTAGATTATTTTGCAGAAATTATAACAGCACCGTGATCATCAGTCAACATGCCCCAAGCGACATTCGGGTAATACTCTGAGGGACAGTGTTATGTACCATGATTGAAATTTTGAAATGGTGATAGACCTACTCTCTGTTTTCTTTTAATAAATTTTGGAGCAACGATAAGGCTTTGCTGAAGGCTGCTATAACAGGTTAAACAAAGAAGCTTGGACCTTTCAGTTATAATGAGTGAGAAGAGGGTAGAAGTGGCAGTAAGTCTGTGGATTCGGATCAAGTCATTTTGGGTTATTTTAGAGAATCGAAATACCCGAGCCAGTTGAGTTTGTATTTGTTAAGGTGGGGTGAAAATGTCTTAGGAAAATGCTGATAAAATCTCGGAAGGTTACAAGATTTCGAGATTCATACTTTATCTTCGAAAAAGTTGGAAATTTGATCATCATAGCTCAGAATATGGGAAATACTGATAAGGGCATGGAAGAGGAATTTAGCCGTACGTATCAAGGAAGAAAAGGGCATGTACGATGGATGAAAGCAATTGTGGACAATGTAGGGGCAAATGCGACAGCGAGGAATAACCAATTATCAGGAAAGCAAAAAGTTCGAGAATATCTTCAAGACGGACGAAAGGGGCATCGACCATGGAACCCAGGGCAGAGATTCTGCCTTTAAGAAGGTTTGGCTTATAGAACTGGATTTGGAGTCACTTTTACAATTCAAACATTTCTAGAGAACTAGGTATCCTGATTCAAACCAACCATATGATCATTCTAAACTTGTCGATTTTTATTTTTTTTATTATCAGGATATGAATTATAATTATTGAAACTAATTAAGTGCAACACTTTATCAACTAATCATCATGATTGTTGACACTATGTCGATTCTCGTTATAACTACTAATGGGTACACTTTAATGCAATGGAATACACTAAGCATTGCGAGAGAATATATATGAAAACAAATTATTTCTTACACAGGTCTATCAACCGGGCGTTAGGGTGTTGGGATATTGTTTCATACCCTAGTTATATACATAATAAAGAATTTAGTGATGTACATAGTAAAATTAAAATTCAGTTCAGAGAAAATTTTGTTTCAGAGAAATATATATATATATATATATATATATATGTATACAAAATGGACTTGGTTTTTAATAATGGGAGAAAAAGAGGCATGAAAAAGGACTCAATTTGAAGCAAAAGGTTAATAAGAAGCAGCTGCCAAGTGGGGACGTCCCAGGGAAAATGGGGCATGTTGCTGGGGTGTGTATATTTTAGCACCATTGATTTGATGTTCATTCTTCTGCTCATCTTTCCCCCCTTCTTCTTCCTCTTCACTTTCAGCAGTCCAAAGATATCGAGCATAAGATGCAAGGACATGGCTGCATTAACAATTTCCAAGGTCCATGAAAGAGAAGAAAATTGGGTGGTTATTGAGCAAATCGAAGGGATGGAAAAAGTTATACCAATCATCAGGAGAAGCCTCAACAGCTCGATCAAAATAAGATTGAGCACGAGCTCCGTCACCGTGGTTAATCCATATCAAATCTCCATACATTGATAAAATTTCCCCATCATCTGGTTTCAGCACAACCGCTCTTTGGCAATACTCCTCAGCTTTCAGAAGATCGCCTCGTACCTAATGAATCAAACGAAATAAACTTGCAAAAAACAAAGGAAACAATCCAATCAACAAAAAAGACTTTAGACTCGTCTTTTTTTGGTCTCACCTCTTTCAAGAATTTAGCGTAGTTTGTGAGCAAAAGAGTCTCTCCTGGGTGAGTTTTGATCATATTCTCATAATATTCATCCATTCTTTGTTTCCCTCGATCCCAATCTCCAAACCCTTCTGCTCCATCCCCGTCAGCAGCGCCACCAACAAGAGAGGGAGTGTTGAAGCTGAAATCTTCTTCTTTAACAGAATTTGGAGACCACATGGGACTGACAGGTAACTTTTGCCCTTTTGGAATAGCAATTTGCTTCATGTTGCCATCTGACCATGTTCTTTGGATTTTGTTGATCGGTGAGGGTGTCAAGGAAATCGGTTTTGATGGGATCCTACGACAGGAGCTAGCCGCAGCTGAGCTCTGAGGAATGCATGTTTTCAGGATAGGGGTTGATGAGCTTCGGAGAAGCATTTTTGCAGATTTCTTCTCCTGTTTGATGAAAGTTCAAGCGATTTATTTCTCCGGAAACCCTTTTCCAGTGAGGGTTCAGAGCCTTCAACTAAAGGAATACATGAAAAGAAAAAAAAAATCAAGATGTTTTTCAGGGTGACGAGACAGACAAGATATGAAATACGTAAAGGAGCTTGGTCTCATCTTTCTCATATAGACACTTTCCCGGTAAATCGAATGGTAGACAATGTAAACAGGGAAAACTATTAAAAAAAAAAAAAAGTGGTGAAAACGAAAAAATAGGCGGAGAAGAATCTAAACCGTTGGATTTTGGCACGTGATTTGTATGCCACGTGTCCCCCATGTCCATTTTTGTCATGTGGAGTCTTGCCACCTCGATGACTCCTGATCTTTTCTCGCAATAATGTGGGGGTTCTATGCTCAAGTGCTTAGACGGTCCGAATTTGTACTCACGTGTGCTCTCTGTTTTTGCTGTAAAACCTGTCCAAAAGACAAAAGATTACCTGTAAATGGGTCATATAATCAATGTAATAGATACCCTTTTGTTGTAATTCCCCTTTGGTTTACATTTTCAACCGTCGGCTGAAGAGCAGTAAATTTACTTTCTTCCTCTGCTATCACAAAATTGCTTATAAAACAACAGAATTTTAACATCAAACAAATCACAATCGATTCAAATGAACAAACAGCTAGCAGCAATCCCTCATCCTTGGGGATCCATCTTTATTGCTTTTGTGCTTCACATTGGAGTGGAAATTCCCCGGTTTTACCACTCACCACTCATTGTAGTAAGTCTTTTTTTTCCGATGAAAATCAAGTTTAAGTGTCTAACTATGAGCCAAACCTTGGGAGCCAAACAGCTGCTTGCAGATCAGCAGATGTCCCATATGAAAATACCGAGGCTCTTATTCTCCTGCGACACGATTTGACAAATCAGATGATCAATGAGCAATTATTTTAGGTTTAATTTTTCTTTTGATGACATCTTTGGAGATAATGCTATCATATAATAATGAATTTTTACTTGATTATTTAAAGACTGTAAATGGAATCCGAAGTAAAGCTTCATATAATTGGGATGGAGAAAGATTGTTTGACAAAGAAAGGTAACGATTCCACCTTATTGGATGCTATTTCCAACAGCAACAACTCCAGATATATTTTTTTAACTTGAATGCTGCCTTGTGACCCATAATAATCTTAACAGATTTTGAGTGTTTTCTCACTCTTGATTTTTTTTTTTTAAATTTTTTACATGCTGTTGGGAGCATGATATTTTACCCTATGATTCCTTGGAATAAAAATAACTGCTTGGTATCTATTTCAAGAAACAAGTTGTTGCGTCATGCAATCAAAAGTTGAGCAATCAATTAATCATAATTTCAAATAGCCAATAGTAATTCACATAGTTCTACATACATAAAGTTGAGCAACTTTTTATTGATAATGGAACAGAAACATACATGACCTCCAAGGGCAGGTGTAAAATTCATTACATGGTTGAGAGGTTACAGACTACAGTTCAGAGGAAAAGAAACCTGCAAAACTAGGGCTTGGTTAAAAAAAAACAACTCCAGGAGTTGTCATGGCAGACTATATAAATTGCTGCCATGGCCAAAGCCCGTGAAAGCTAGGCACCAACCTCCAAACTGCCAAAAGCAACCACAACTACAATGACTCGAGACTTTCAATCCACCCTTGAGAAAAACAGAAGACCCAACCATCACGGGTAGAACATTGAGTTCAAAATCGTGAAAGACTAGGCAAAACCAACATTGGACAAACTCTAAATAGGGTACTACTGGAAGGACAATACTAAGAAAAGCTTACCCCAAGCAGAAATGAACAAGGCTAAGCAAAAACACCATGCACCAGCACCCAGCAAACACAAAAAACCATAACAATTTGGATAGATACCCTAAAATCCAGAACCCAGCATCTGTAGTCTCAAGTTAATTCAGCCACGAAGAAACCAACACACATTATTGGGATTCAAAATTTAGTAAACAGATCTCTGATGAAAGGAAACCTGCAAAAAATGGTGAATGGCCATATTCCCTGGAAAAGAGGACTGAGTTCTGGAAGATAAGACCCATAGCTGATGGACCCAAAAACTACACAAACTACTGCTACTCAGAGACTATTCTGAGGCTTCTTGATTTGTCAAACCCTATGTAATGGTATTATGTGGAGGGACCTATACCCGTTAGTTCAGAAAAGGATATCACACCTCCATAACTGCTCCACAAGCAGGTCAAGTGCACCGCTGCTGATCTCCTTGCAATGCTGTAGGTTTAACCCCAAGAGGGTCTGACCCAATTCTCCAAGAGAAGGTAGGCTTTTGTCTGAGACCATAGAGCAACCAGACACAGAAAGGATCTGTAAATTAATCAGATTAGAACGAGCAAGAGTAGCAATTCCGGAATCAGTTACAGCACACTTTGAGACATCAAGGTCACTGAGCAACTGGCAGTGCTCTGCAATTGCAACCAAACTAGCATCACTGATCCTACAACCATCAAGATTCAACATTTCTAGAGTCCACCCGTGCAGATCAGCCATCATACAAACAACTTTGTCACTCAAATTCACACAACCACTGAGATTAACCTTCACCAAACCAGCTTCACAACTCTCAAGTAATGGGAGAAACCCAGCATCTGTTATTCCATGAAGCCCACTCAACTCCACATGCTGCAATTGAGGGCACAACTTCCCCAACGCAGCCAAGCTAGCATCACCAAAGCCAGGGCAATTACGGACAGACAGTGATCGGAGGGACTCACAAGGGGATACAGAAGGCAATCCCGAGTTTAGGTCCTTAATACCCAAGCAGTTCACAAGAGAAATAGCCTTCAACTTTGCACCACAGTTAAGAAGGGAATAAAAAAACCCAAATTGGGTGATCCTGTGGCACTCTTCCAGTTGCAGGCTCTCTAGTGGACCGGCTGCTTTGACAAAAGACACCAAACCATTATCAGACAAGAAAGCGCATTTGCGGAGGCAGAACTGCTTCAAATTTGGGCAACCCTTTCCAACAGCTTCAAGTCCCAAATCTGTTACTCCACGGCAGGATGCAACTGTTAAAGACTTCAATTTCTGTAGCCCATGACCATTACCCATTACCCAGAAGCCCCTCTCACTCACATTTGGAAGGTTAGTGAGAGAAAGGTCAGTCACTGCCTTGCCATAGTGTCCTACAACAGCAAGAGAGACATCAGTAATGTTCAAGGACTGGAACTTTACTTTTGTCAGGGAATATGAGGCTGAAGACACCAGGCTTGCAATTCCTTGATCTCCAACAAGGGGGCACTCTTTGATTGAAACAGACTTTAGATTAGAACAGCAGCGTGCTACAGCTTGGAGACCTTCATTTCCAATGTTTGCACAACTCTCTATGGTCAGATCAGTCAAATTAGGGCAGCTTTTTGCCACAGAAAGTAACGACTTATCAGTAATTGCAGGACAGTTGCAAAGATCAAGCTTCTCTAGTTGGTGACACCCATCTGCAATCTCACACAGACCCTCATCTCCAATAGAAGACAAACTCCACAAGGAAAGAATCCTTAGAGAAGGGCATCCACGGGAAATGGCCCTGAGGCCAACGGTAGTCACTCCACGACTGGAATTGCATCCTCGAATGAAAAGCTTGCCCAATCCTCCACGACTAGCAGTTCCAACAGCAATAGCAGCAAGTCTAATGTCTGTTGCTTTCTTCCCTTCCAAGCTCCTAGAGAGGTATCCATCATCCTCAACATCCCGAACTTCAACACCAGAAACAACTCCAGCCTTCTTATCAGCACTCTCATCCTTGAGAGTCAAAGCTTGGGTGGTCTTGTTGCCACTAATTTCATCTTTGCGGATGTTGCTTACTAATGTAAGCCAGCGCTTGGAAACACAAGCACAGGAACTCCTCTCTTGGCCCCCAGGCAACCGTCTGAGGATTTCAAATAAGCATTCATCAGGGAGAACATCGATTGATGGCTTCTTTAGCTCAAACCTCTCTCCAGAGAAAACAATTGGGGCATTGATGCGGGACCTCTTGCAAGAAGGAAAATACACATCCACATGACGTCTAGGGGACAAAAAGAGACTTGACTCCTTGGGGTTTGGGTAAATTGACCCTCCAGGGCAAAAATCATCACTTCCTGAGAACCAAGAAAAAAAACCTTGATGAGAACAGAGAAGTCTACCAAAATTATATAAGAAAATCCAATTCAAGAATTTTGAAAGATATTTCTGATTAAATAGCAGTAGTTCAGGTTATTGTTTACCACACAGCTCTCTAAAGCCACATCTCTCCTAATTCATGTCCAACATAAAGACAATAACAAGGAACCTATGAATATTTTCATGGAGACCAAACTTTAGATTTCAAAGGTTCATACCAAAGCCCCATAAGGCAAATCCACAAGATCCATCAACCAGAAGGGATTTTGAATATATAGCTCATAAATCCATCCCAGATATAGTCCCACAGAACCATATATTTCACAACAAACAATAAACAACCCAAAAGAAAGTCATCTAAACCTTAAAATCCCAATTGATCCGTTCAGCGTAAACCTGATCTACAACCAAAACACCTGTATAGTTTTCAACTTGAAAGAAACATAAAACCAAAAAGATATTCAGCCAAGAAACATCCAAAACACCTCTATAACATCAAACTCCCCCCTATAATAGACAGTAAAGGAGAACCCATAAGCCCAAAACTAATAAGAGACACAAATAAACAATCAGATTAGTTCTAAGGGCACCTAATCTACAACTATAATTGCTTCACAGCCTCCAAATCTTCAAAGTAACAAAAGAACAAATAGAACACCTAAAGGCAACTAAATTCTTCCCATAGATCAACCTGAATGAACTAATTCACAACCATGACCAAAATTCCACCTTTATTAAATCAATGAAATAACATTAAAAAAAATCTTTATAAAAAAATTATTAAAATCCTCCATGATATTTATCCTAAGTTACCAAAGATAATCTCAAAACTCTAAGTCGTTCATGTAAAAAAGAGTATAACTTTATCATATCCGATCTATAAACCAAGCTCAATAAAAACGAAAATCAAAGATACCCAGATAGCAAAGCAGTAGAAAAACTAAAAAACGATGCTAAAAGTTAGCAAAGATGAAGAATTTACCACTAATAGCAAAGAGCTTTGACATGAGTACAGCTTAAAAACCCCCGGGAGGTGAAATCTGCACTGTTCCCCGCCCAAAAACCCTCCAAAGAGAGCAAAAAAGAGAGACCCAACGAGGTAGAAGATCGAAACGTCACCGTATGTAGCTTTAAGACACGAATGCATGAGATAGTTGAAGCCAGAAGGTCATGGAAACCCTATCAGATAGGGAAAAAAAGAGAAGAAGAGAAAGGGGGAAAAAAAAAACCCTTTGGTGAAAGAAAAATGAAAAGATGGGTGGTTAAGGAAGAAGGGTTGGCTTTATTTCGAGAGGTAGAGGAGAGAGGTTGGGGTATGTGACAATATACAGGAGAGAAACCCACATACAATGTATTTGAGCAAAGATGTGGGGTTTCCTTGTCTATATTCTCTCTCCTCTCCCCTCTATTCCAATACCGCTTACGGCTTTCCGCTTACCGCTTTCCGCTTTCCGCTTTCCGCTTTGCTTTTTTCCTACAGGTAAAGATAAGTGTTTTTGGACATAACAATTTTGAGTTTATCCAAAATATTAGTTGGATATAAAATTTTGTGTCTTAATTATTTGGTGTCCAAAACCTACCATTTATGTTATACTTAAATCTATTTAAATATATTAAAACTCATATTAAAATAATATATAAAAATAAAAAATTTAAAAATCAATGAATTAAATCTAATCAAACTGATAAAATTTGATTTAATTCAAATCAAATTACGTATAAATTTGATTCAAACTTGAATCGAATATTAAAAATTTATAACTTTATGCATTACTTAAAAAAATCAAATTAAATCTAATTCGATATAAATTGGTATTATCCATAGCAATAATAAAAATGAAAAGAGAGCATTGAATTGAAATGCACGTTATAATTAGATCAATTTGGTTAGGTTTTGGGCTACAAAAATTAGGGGAGAGGGGAGGGGGGAGAGGAAGCTTCTTAATTTGGTTTAATTTGATCCTACTAAGTTTTGTTTAGAATAAATTGGTGGGGATACATATATATATATATATATATATATGTATGTGTGTGTGTGACTTGTGTTCATGCACAATTAATGCTCCATTGAAGGGCCAAAGTTAGGTCCAGCCACCGAGCCAGCAGACAGTCATTTCCCACTTCTTTTAGCTTGCGTATTCACAAAGATCCAAGAATATATAACTCACAATCAATGGAAATTACCAATTAATTATTAAAAAAAATTTCTGCTAAAATGTTTTTCCTGGAAACCAATATTAAATGAAATTGGTTAACATGGGTTTCCTCAATCCCCATTCTCCTATTCAAATTTGAAAATTTCAAAGTTAGATAAATTATTAACATAATCATCCTCCCTAGTAAGTTAAATATGCAATCTTCCTAATTTTCTTTAGGGTCAGTCCAACTCATAAAATCAAGAAATGCATGTGCATGTGATCCAAGCTGCTTCTGCCAATCTCCGTATATTTATATTATATAAAATATTAAATTTTATATATTTATATTTTATTTTCATATCAAATTTTATATTATATTATTACATCATGCTTACTCTCCATCTAACATTTGCCGTATTTAAAGAAATAGACTAGCAACTTTCCGCTTGGAATTTTATTTTATAGAAATAAATCTTTGACGGATCCATTTATGTATTAAGAAAAGAAAATTAAAAAAAAAAAAAAAGGTTGTTCTTAATGTGTTGTCACTACCTTTGTGTGGACCAAGAAAAATACGCAAAAGATTTGGCAAAGACCCGCACTAATTCCTTAATATTTTATTCATGCTCGAAAATTTTCGAGGAAATTATTAAAACGAAAAAGTGAGGTCCATGAGGAGGACGTTCAAGCATATTGTTATCTCAAAAAGGGCAGGTTTATGTTGAATCTTAATGAAGACAAAGAGACGAGCTCCACCTGTTGTTCCACAGAAAAGTTCCTTTTAAGACATATATGTCAACTTGCAATAAAAATGTGGGCAATGGAAAGAGACTCTTGCAGGACATACATAAAATTGTGACATCTTAAATGCCCACCACACCATTTGAAACATGATTTTACCTCATCTCAACCCCCAACCGGCCAACCCTACCTATCAAAATCCCAATCTCACTTAAGAAATTGGAACATTTTGATCGTTTTGACGATCAAACTCGTAATTTTTTAGCATTTGAGACTGTTGGAGATTAAACTTTTATTATTGTAAATAAATTTTAATATTTTATTAACAGATTATATGATTATTAGCAAACTCATTCTTTTATCAAATTTGAGAGATTAATAATTTATCCTATCCTCTGATTAAGATTTATTTATGAGTCTTCCTATACCTTTAAGATTTGAATATAAAATTAATTTCTTATAAAATGTTTCTTCAAAAGGGAATTAAGAGATTATGAAAGATGAAAGAATAAAATTTGGACCTTGTTGAATGCATGCATCACAGAGATTGCTCATAGTTTATTATGTTCTTCGAATTTTTTAAAATTTAATCTCTTTAATATTATTTAAAAGAATTTAATCATTGTAATATTATTTTTTAAAGATTTTAGTTTAATAATTAATAATGCATTAAAATTAAATTTTTTAAAAAATAATACTATAAGGATTAAATTTTTTTAAAATAATATTATAAAAACTAAATTTTTTTAAATAATATTTTAAAAATTAAATTCGAAAAACACATAGACAGTAGCACATTTTAACCATTGCTCAACATACACATCCATACTCCAGAAACAAGACCCACGCCTGCCGGAAGAACTTGGGAAAATGTAAAGGTTCATTGCCACAGATAAAAGCAGGTGGGGCGGCGGTCAATAACAGTCATAAAAATTGTTCTCATTGAATGCAGTCACATGCAGCCTCGCAGGCCATTCATGAATTAACGACGCAGCAAGCAAAATCTCTTTTGCTTAATAACCCTATTATCAAGTTGGCATTTTCATGACAAGATATGATATTAGGCTGCTCAAATGTATCCTCCAACTAGCAAATTTCATGAAAGGAAAACGGGAAAAGGATTTTACGAAACAATTATTTCTCATCGAAACTACATATAAATATATTTACACGATACGATTTAAATAAAAATATATATATTAATACGAAACAACCATATAGAATCTTTTTTATTGAGATTTGTTATTAGCTAAAGATTTGTATTAATATACAAGAGACACATATATATATATGTGTGGATTCATTTCTTCATCGAAAATACATATAAATATAGTTACATGATATAATTTAAATAAAAAATATATATTTATACGAAACAATCATATAGAATCTTTTTTATTGAGATTTATTATTAGCTAAAGATTTATATTAATATAAAAAAGACACACACACATATATATATATTTACGGATTTAATTTTTTCATGGTTACATCTAAAGTGAGAATCATGTAATAATATTAAGTTTTATTTAGATAAACAATAAAATTGATTTTAATGAAATTAAAATAATAATTAAAATTACTATAATTGTAGTTAAAAAATTATTATAATTATGATTAAAAAAATTTAAAATTTATATTAAATAAATTTTATTAAAATTAATATTTAAATTTACCGGACATGTTAATAAATTCAATCATAACATACAAAAAATACAATAAAATCCAGACCTAAATTTAATCTAGTATCATTCAAACTAAATTACTAAATAATTTAATAATTTCAACAATATTTTACCAAAAAAAATAAATAAAAATATTTATCTCAATTTTTTTATTTTTAATTATTAAAAGTCGATTAATTTGATCAGTACGATTATCAATTTTAAAAACTGAAAATCGATCGAATTAATCAATTTAATCGATTTAAAAAATCGATTATAATTAAAATCGAATAAATCAAATCGATTCAACCGAATTCACTCGATTTTAATCGATTTAATCGATTTAAACCAATTTTTGTTCACCCCTACTTTTGACCACGACGGGGTTCCTTTATTTGTTCTTCCTAATATTTTCCCTGAAAAGATAACAAATATTCAACATTTTTTCTTTCCTATTATGCTTTTAATTTCTTCTCCTGAAAACATAAGCATCCACTTGGACCTAAAACCTTGCTTCCATGACATCCATGAGGACTATTATTAAAATATGGAGGTCCTTTCCGGCCTATCTATTCTTAACATATTTTCCATGTGTGCCCAACTTATCAAATTTGGAAGTGCGTGTATATCTACTTCCATTGACCATTCCATTACACCACTTGCTTTTTCTGTGTATTTCTTTTCTGTTCATTGAAGGATTGCTAGCTATCTTTTTGTCTAATCACTGCTCTTCTTCAGCTAATTACAAAAACAATTCCTTCAATGATTAAAGGATACCACAGCCCACTACCGATCGGGATGGCACTAGTTTTTGTTCGATTCGATTTTAATTTAATTTTATATATTAAATATTTAAATTTAATTTAATATTAAATTAGTAATTTTATATATAATTGATTTGTATATATATAAAATTATAACTATGATTTAAAATTAATAAAATTTTTTTAAAATATATATAAATTTAAATAAATATAAAAATATAATTATGTAAATAATATAAAAAATTTTATATGATCTGATTTAAAAAATATCTTAATTAAAATTGAATGGATTCGAATTAAATTGCCGACGTAGCTACTCTCATCATGTCTTCCCCGTCTGTTTTACTGTTCAGACCAAATTAATTTGTATGAATTTGTCTATACTGAGAATCCAACCTTCACCGAAAAAGAAAACTCACCTTTCTCTGTTCAACAAACCTCACCGTTGTTTTGCTTCGAGGGCCTACAGAAATCTTATCAATAAAGGACGTTGTAGGTGTGGCCGTGTGGGCCTCGTCTCCATTTTCCATGCTTGAGGGTGAAGCCATCGTTCTTGTCAAGTTCGATGTATGCTTGCAAGCGGTTGACTCGTTTTGGAAGCAAAACCAAGGACTTTGAATAATAGTGTTGGCTTTTGCAACCATGAGATGACCCCAACTTTCAATTATTACTTCTAATCATATCTTGTTAGGAGAGTGATAATAACAATCATAACTTTATATCATGTGAAACACATTTGATCAAGTTGCTTTAGTTGAACTACGCTCTCTTCCTTAGCTTCATATTATTTACTATTTTTGTATGATTTTCTACATACTACCATCATTAACTTCACTTGATAACTATTGTTATCTGTCTGATTGTCTGGTTGGTCATCAAGAAATTTCCTATGGCTTCCAAAAAGCGACAAAAAAACAAGATACCCATAGTCTTTTTGGGTCTAATTTTATTGTTATCTAGATCAAATTCTCTCTTTGTCATTTTGGGTCAAATTTAATGACCCTTTCAATCAGATCTTTTTTTTTTCAACAAAAATACTAATTAAAACTTGAGATTATCCTTCACGGATAATTTTTTTCTGTATGTGTATATTAGTATATGCATATTATTAGTTAGTAGTTCGACTGGGGCCATTATTTTGGCAGAGAAATCCATGGTCAAGAGCATTGGCAAACGGGAAAAAAAAAAAAAGAAACGTGTTAACAAAACCAAGTTTTGGGCCACGTTGAGCTGGTGTGGGCCTTTTTTAAAGGGGATTGACTTAAACTAATGCAAGCGGAAATCTTTTGTTGTTACCGAAAGGACCAAAGTCCAAGACATTGATGGACGATTACAAAAATAACATATGCATTGCTTTCACCTATATCCCGAGAATTGATATTATTATATCGTATATAATATTTTATATAAATTATATATTATAATTTGTGTTAATATAAAAATATAAAATATAATTTTTTAATTTTATTAATTTATTTATAATTTTTTAAAATTTTAATTTATATTATTATTATTTTTTTATATATCATTTTATATGATATCATCGTTTTATATTTTAAATTATCAAATTTTTATGATAGGCAAAAATAGGTGTTTTGAATAAATAGCTTAATTAAAACTTGTCACCTATTCAGCAATGGCCACACGCCGATCGATGGTGTTCTGATTAAATAGGTTGATTCAAACGTTATTAATTATGAATTCAATTGTGCGTCTGATAGTTCTGTTACTGAGAAAAGCCAGAGTTTTAGTGATACAAAGACCCCCAAGGGCCTGCGCTCTTACCTAAGCTTTGCTGCCGATTGTAAAAGTTGAAGGCTGCCAAGAAACTAAAGATACCTGAACTAGTGTTCTTTCAATCTTTACCATTGAAGGGAAATATGACTTTCTGCTAAAAAATCACAAAGTTGGCTTGGTAATCAAATAACATATTAGATTCCTCTTACTATACCAACCCAAAAGTTGGAAATTCCCTTGCCAATACAGAACTTTGATCACACCTAAATGACCCAAGGCTTGTCCTGCAGAAAATAATTAACCTGTTAACAACCCTGCTTCTTTGATTCACATTCTTCGTTCAAAACTGAACTAGCCTTTTAACTGCATTGACCCAAAGTTCCATCTCTTTCAACAATTCTGGGACTAGAAAGCAAAGCAGAGAATATGTGGAATAGCTTCCCATAATTTGTTTCAACTTGAAAGCTTTGCCAGTATTATTCCAATAGCATATAAAAATTGCATCCGAGGAAGAAATTCAGAATTATTCTTCAACTGCAGCCAGTTCTATATGCTGTGAAAAGCTTAATTGAAAGCATTAAGAGAAATGGGTTTAAGCAGAAATATTTAACTATCACCAAACTCTTGTCAAAGGTCTAGAACTTTTCATTTTCAAAGAAAAATACCTTTTTTTTTTCCATGAAATTGTTGTTGATGCGACTGTTGTTTTTCTATCCTTTTCAATTCCAATTAATTGGATGACCTAGCTATGTGATCATTATTACTTACTACTGACTTTTTATTGAGAAGTGATGAGGATTGTCAACATGTTATTCATTCTTTCTTTGTGGTTGCGAACCTAGTTCTATCATGGCTGTGTGTAGGTGAAAATCTTTATTGCAGCAAGTACTAATTACATGGACTTTCAATTCAATCCACCGACGACCCATATAATTTCCTTCTCGTAAGGCACGTATCCCACCTTCCACTTTTCCTTCTTAAAACTGCACCTTCAGGGCTTCCATATTTATGATCTCTGCACTTCTCTTTAGCCTTTTCTTTCCCGGAAACATGGTACAAACAAAGAAATTCAGGGGTGTTCGGCAGCGTCAGTGGGGGTCTTGGGTATCTGAAATTCGCCATCCTTTACTGTAAGCCCACCCACTCACATTATCACACCGCTTCCTATATATAAAATATAGAAACTATCTTTTCTATAACTAAAATATTTATTACCACGATATCAGCCTGGTGGCATACGATTTTAATTGTGTTTGATGTACAGGAAGAGAAGGGTATGGCTAGGCACATTTGAGACAGCTGAGGCTGCTGCAAGAACATATGACCAGGCTGCCATTTTGATGAATGGACAAAATGCCAAGACCAATTTTCCTGTAGCAAAGACTCACCCTAGTGACACAAATGCTCGAAATGATGACTCTCCATTGCCTCCCAAGGCTCTTTCTGAGCTTCTGAATGCTAAGCTCAGAAAGTGTCGCAAAGACCAATGTCCTTCTCTGACTTGCCTGAGGCTTGACACCGATAATGCTCATATTGGAGTCTGGCAAAAACGTGCAGGCACTCGTTCAAGCTCCAATTGGGTCACGAGGGTTGAGATCGGGAATAAGAAGATGATTACACCGGCATTGGAAGATGGATCAGCATTGTCATCAGGGTCGTCGCCTATAGCTGATGAGAGTGAAGCTGGAAGTGTAACGGGAGAAGAGGACAGGATAGCAATGCAGATGATAGAAGAGTTGCTCAATTGGAATTGTCCTATGTCTTCAACTTCAGGTTGAGTTTAGAAAAGACATATCCTTTGAATAAAAGTCCTTTGCATTTTACCTTTCCAGGTTATAAATCATGCATCACCTTCCGTCGACCTCACTGTGGAACTGGTGCAATAAGCAGTTTCTTACCTAGTGATTGTGAAATTTACTATATGAAAAATAAAGTAGATCAGCACCTATTCAACAGTTTAACCTACTAATCCAAGCTCTAATGTCACTTATTATCTGTTAGATTCTATAATCCTGCAGGAGAAAGGTCCTGATTGAGGAGCCTGAATTAACCATACGTTTGATATGCAGCAAATTCAGCTAATGAGTTCTGATATCGTACATTGAAAAGACTATCCGTCTTCCTCATTAATATTATTACATTTTTTATTCTAAATTTGAGAAACCTTGCTACCAAAAACAAATTTAGTTTCCAAGTAGTAATTGCATAGTTTTCGTAGCTAGATTGAAATTCCCTTCAATTTTCCTATTGATGATATGATATATAATTTAACTAATATATTAACACTGCTGATATAGTAATAAATTGGTAGATTTATTTTACTATAGTCCTTTTCTTTCACCATGGTTGGTAGTGTAGCAGAACTTGCTAGAGATAGGACATCAGAGAGACTAGCTTATTCAACAAAGAAACAAAGAAAATCGATAGGTATAAGACTTTCTTCTAAAGACAAGATAGAATCTCCAACTGGAGACCGGACGTGTGAAACGATTATCATGAGTTGTGACAGGTTTTGTACATTTGTTAGACTTTATTCAAGCAAAACCAGTCTTTCTATGGGACCTTTCCTCAGGACCAGACTATAAGGAATTGCATCTCTTTGAATTAGTCTAACAATGACCCAGAGAATAGCTCCACACAATCATCTTGGAACATTGTATTCCTCACATTTTCCCCCCAGTCGCCTAATTAAAAGGATAATGTTGCTACTATGATGGTGATGATGAAGGAGGTGGTGATTAGAAAACCCATATTGCTAATGAGGTGATTAGAAAACCCATATTCCTAGGCATAAAAAACACCTAATTAAGATTTATCAGAACTTGACTACCTATTTAATCCCACATAAGAACAGTAGTAAAGGAAAAATTATTCATATGCACGCACTTCCACACATACACAATAATTAAAACAGATATATGTTGCTGGCAATCTCATCTCTAACTCCGCTGGAAACATTCTCATAGAGCGGTACTGTTCAATGTGTACGTGTGTTAATACTTTGCGGATGTATTTGCATTCATCAAAGAAAATTTCTTCGTCCAATTCCTTTTTTTTTTCTTTTTAATTAATTGCTTCATATTTGCTTTAGTTTATTGTTGAAATTAAGTTTGCCACTGTTTCTAGTGGAAAATATAAGAAAATTCGCTTTGAATTCACACTAAAACTTTGCAAAATTTTCGGGCTATGCATGCACATAGTTATGCTTGATGTGGTTGAGGCCGATGCGTTCTTCATTTACATGAAATTGTAGGTTCAATGGATTTTCCATATGAGGAACGATTACATTGGAGAACTTTCTTAATTAAACTGACAGCAGACAATCTCGAAGGTGCAAGAAATGAAGAGCTTTTTGTTGCTTCACACAAGTATGTAAATCAAGTTAACCCATTCCTAATGTTCTTGTATTTCATTATGAAAGGACCAATAATTGATTAATAGAATTAACCCATATCAGGCTGTTTGAAACTTTTTAAAACCATGAAATTCAAAGAATTTGTTGTCACATTAATGAGAGTGAGAAAGGGATAAGTAATAGCCAATGGCACCAAAAGCAAAGGGGTAGGTAACAACTGCTCTGGTCCTCCAATTTGTAGAAGTTCACTTCTATAGCTACACTTTTTCTTCCTCATCTTCCTAATTAATAAAAGCATTGCTAATTTTGAGTTTTGACCTTTGCAAAACCACGACAAACAAACATGGCCCCTCTTCGGGCCTCCTTCCTCATAAAAGTCTACTACTATTATCATGTGGTAAACAATTTTCTTGGAAGCTCTTTTAATGGAAAACTAGGAGACAAATTTTTAGGTGGCATACTCATTAATTTGTTTTTGTTGGACAATTTTCCAATGCAATACTTCTATCATCTAATTTTTGACTTGTTACCTAACTATAAAGTCGTAGAACTTTTTTTTTTTTTTTTTTGTATTTGTGGTTTTCAAGGATTGAACATTGATCACCAGTCATTGAAGCTAAAAGTTTAGTAAAAAAAAATATTTACTAGTATTTTCATTAACTTATCCTCAAAGTTTTGATTTTATTTTATTTTATTGAAATTAATGTTAAATTAAATTTGTAATCATATTTTTCCAGACCTTGAGAAAACAAAGAGAACATTATCTTCAATGTTCAGATGTCATTATGGAAAATAAAACCCTTTTTCTGGTAATAAATGACTTTTGTCCTTGGTTTGAATTCTCAGGTCAGTCTACATTGTTTACACATTGCTGGGAGGTGTCTGGATATACATGTAGGCAAGGATGAACATGATGAACTTGCTTGTAAGTGTTTTTTTTTTCTTATGTGCATGTAATTTTGTTGGAATTGCAAGACCAAAAAATGGGATTAATTCAACTGAAAATGGTTTGAAAAATGTAACTGATAACTAAGAATTTGACATCCCTTAATACTTGTTTTGAATCCTGTTTATTAACGTTTGAAGTGAAAAATCCTTTTGTTTTGTTTCTTTTTAACCCTTACTTGATCCTAACAAGTTTCTGTTGGCAAGGGAATCCTGGAAAACACAGAGATAGAATCCGAAGGCTGATAAGGTTAAAGCCTCCAACAGTGATTTGAACTCTGCCCCATTTTCCTTATTATCACCCTTTTAATTGAGGAAAAATTATTTCAAGGACGAACAAAGAATCACCAATTATTCTCAAATCCAGAACTGTTAATTGATAAAAAAAAAAAAAAATCTGGGGCTCAAATGTAAATCTCTTCAAAAGCTTCAGTTGAAATGTTAAAGCAGTGTTTCCCTACCTTATATATGCTTACTCTGAATCTGATCAGTAAACAGCAAAATGGAAGTAGGGGTCAATTTTTTTCACATAAATGGTGCGGTTCAAAGCATTTTTCCCTGTTCAAGGGAACCAATAGGCCAACAAATCAGGAGTCAATTGGCTAATACTTAAATGTAAAGGCTAGGAAGCCCTTCAGTTTTCTTCAACAGGCAGAACCGCAGGGATACTAGACAAGACATGTAGAGTTGTCACAAAGTTCTTCTGAAGTGTCCAAGGTAATAAGTGTTGGGATTTGTTTTGAATCTCATAATAATCTTATAATCTCACATCAAAAATTAATGAGTTTTGAGTTTGTCTTGTATCTTACATTGGGAGTTTAGTAAATATATAAAGGGTTTCATATTTATAAATATGATGTTTGGTTGTTTAGGAATCTCAGAGAGTTAGACACCAAGAGAATAGCTAAGTAAGTAGGCTATTAAAAATGTGTAATTGGATTTTGCGTTAAGTTTTGAGTAAGAAGTTTTATGAGACTTTTCTCATTCTAAAAGTCTCACAATTGTAAAGATTTATTTGATAGTGTATTAGGTTTGGAGTAGACCATTTTGAATTGGACCGAACCAAATATATTTGTGTGTTCTTATTCTTGATTTAAGTTTGCTGTTTTGTGTATGATTGTTGCGTGTTGATGTTATTTTTTTTCAACAAGTGATATCAAAGCGAGGTTCGAGGTTTAAGGTTCGTGGACCCAAGAGATCGTGAAGCAGTGTTTCAAGATGTCTATGTCTGGTATACCTATGCCTAAGTTTGAAATTTCGTTATTTGATGAAAAGAATAATTTTATGTTATGATAAAGTACGGTTCAAGATCTATTAGTACAACAATGATTGGATCAAGTATTAGAGAATAATAAGCATGAGGGAATGTCTGACGCTAATTGGAATAGGATTAAGAAGAAAGTTGTATGGCGCCTGATGGAATGTCTGACCTAATTGGAATAAGATTCAGAAGAAAGCTGTTAGTACTATTAGATTGACACTAGCTCCAGAGATAAAATACAGTGTGTTAACTGAGAGTACTATGAAGAGTTTGTGGGATAAGCTTGAAGGTATTTATGCTTTGAAGTCGTTGACTAATAGATTATGTTTGAAGATGTATCTGTATTCTTTGAAGATGAAAGAATGTATGGGTCTTCAGATTAATATATTAGTTTCTCAATTGCCAGCGATTTCTGTTGATGAGTTAAAAGATGAAGAGAAGGCTTTAATTTTACTGTCATATTTGTCAAAGTCTTATAGGCCTTTAGTTCAGACTGTGTTGGTAGACAAGTCTACTTTGAAGTTGGATGATGTGACTTGTTGCGTGAGAATGAAAGGTAAGGTTTATGGGATGATGTGACTGTCTTGTTGCGTGAAATGTTTATAGAAGCTCAAAACTCATCACCTAGGGGGAGTCACTAGCTGTAGAGGGGCGTCACTAGCTGTAGAGGGGGAGTCACTAGTTGTAGAGGATTTTGATCGAGGGAGGACTCAAAAGAGGATTGATGGATCAAGAGAGAGATCCAAGTTAAGTGAAAAAGATTACAGTGATATAGAATGTTATTATTGTGGTGAGAAGAGACATATCCAAGTACGCTGTAGGAAGCTGAGAAGGGATATAACTGTTTTTAAAAAGGCAAATGATGAGAAAAAATCAGATGAAGAAAAGAGTGATACTACGACTGTTGTGTCTGATGATGATGATGTTGTTTTGACAACTTATGTAAATGAGACTCAGACTTTGAAAAATGATAAAGGTTGGGTTTTAGATTCAGCTGCTACAGTTCATATTTGCAATGATAAGAGTTGCTTTGTGAAATTAGATGAAAATGAGAAGTATGAGGATATTATGGTTGCTAACAAAAAAAAGGTGCAGATTCAAGACATTTGGAGTGTTTGCCTTAGATCTCACAATGGTGTTATTAGGACACTTCGCCATGTAAGATATGTATCAAGTTGTCACTACAATTTGATTGCTTTGAGTGAATTAGCTTCTCGGGGGTACACATATTATAGTAGTAATGATTGGTTGAAAGTGTACAAGAATGGTAGTGTGATTCTACAAGGAAATAGGTTCAAAAATCATTTGTAAATGCTTGATGAAGGCTCAATTGCTGGGATCCCTATGATGAAAGAAAAGAAAAAAAATAAGCGTGTTAGCTTTGCAGATAGTGTTGAAGTGTTTGAAGATTCAAGTCAAGGGAAGATTTGTTGAGATTTGTCTTGAATCTCATAATCTCAAATCGAAAGTTAATGAGTTTTGAGTTTGTCTTGTATCTCACATCGAAAGTTTAGTAAATGTATAAAGGGTTTCATATTTATAAATATGATGTTTTGTTTTTGGTTTAGGAATCCCAGAGAGTTAAACACCAAGAGAATAGCTAATTGAGTAAACTATTAAAATGGTGTAATTGGATTTTTGGTTAAGTTTTGAGTAAGAAGTTTTAGGAGATTTTTCTCATTCTAAAAGTCTCATAATTGTAAAGATTTATTTGATATGGATTAAGTTTGGAGTAGGACATTTTGAGTTGGACTGAACCAAATATATTTATATGTTCTTATTCTTGATTTGAACTTGCTGTTTTACGTATGATTGCTGCGTGTTGATGTTGTTTTTTCCCAACAATAAGCTTGTGCAATGCAACTGAAGCTAACAGAAACGTCAATGGTTGAGCTAGGCAGCCTCGTCGTTCATAGCCCTTGAAAGACCTCAAAACATAAATAAACTTTCCATGTTATGTACCAGCTGTGTGCTACATAGTAAGTTTAAATCTAGGTCACCACCGAATGCCCATGTCGAAAGCATAAAGTTGTAGGTTCCACCTCCTGCCTGACGCGATGGTAAAGTTTTGGCTGGTCTCCTTACCTGACCACTAAGCTCAAAGGTAGATGCCTCATGAGTTTCATCTCTCTCGATTTTTTACTTTCCATTTCCTTGCAGTGAACCAACAGTTCCTCCGGTAACAAAGTAACTCTAAGTTATTAAGGATCCAAAGCATCCAATGCACTTTACATGAATGACCTAACATTCAGAAATCCATTTTTAACTTACATATGAAAGTTGCTGCGAGCCTGTGATTTCTGAACATTCACATGTACCTATAAAACCCCATACAAACTCTAGAAAGTTCCAAGCAAGGCCTCAATCTACTACACCATTTCAAGTGAAAAATGTCTATTGTAGCAGAAGCTCCCGGTTTCATTCAGGTCTTTTCTGATGGTTCTGTGAAACGCTTTGAACATGAAATAGCACCTGCCTCTCAAGAATCAGCTGGTGGATACAAGTCTAAGGATGTGACCATTGACCCATCAAAACCAATAACTGGTAGGATTTTCCTTCCTGATACCCCAGGATCCTCCACCCTGCTTCCAATTCTTGTTTATTTTCATGGTGGTGGGTTTTGTATTGGCTCAACCACATGGCTTGGCTACCATCATTTCCTAGGAGATTTATCTGTTGTGTCACAATCCATTGTCCTTTCTATTGACTACCGTTTGGCACCTGAACACCGCCTCCCTGTAGCTTATGATGATTGTTATAGCTCTCTGGAATGGCTATGTAGCCAAGTTACTAGTGAACCATGGTTCAAGCAAGCTGATCATTCTCATGTCTTTCTCTCTGGAGACAGTGCTGGAGGGAACATTGTGCATCAGGTTGCTATTAAAGCAATGAGGAACAATGATTTACATGTTAAGATTAAAGGATTATTGTTGATACATCCTTATTTTGGCAGTGAAGAAAGGACTGATAGAGAAGGGGCTGATAGTGCAGCTGGCTATGTTGCAATGAATGACATGTTTTGGAGACTAAGCATACCTGATTGGTCAAATCGTGATTACTTTGGATGTAACTTTGAGAAGCAAGAGGTGTCTGAAGCTGAATGGAGAGAGTTTCCTGCTGTGGTGGTTTATGTTGCTGGCTTGGATTTCTTGAAGGAAAGAGGAACGATGTACACTAAGTTTTTGCAGAGGAAAGAAGTGAAGAAGGTGAAACTTGTGGAAACGGAGAGGGAGAGTCATGTCTTTCATGTGTTTTATCCCAAATCTGAGGCAACTCGTTTGCTCCAGCGACAGATGAGCGAGTTCATGAAAGACAACTAACTTCTTGGCTGGCTAGTCACTATTGTAGGCAGATTAATGCTGTTAGCTTCTGAATAAATCATAGAAACTGAAGCATAAGTAATCTACTATGCTGGACATTAGTGAATAGTGACCTCGTTATAGAAATGCCCATAAACGGTGATAACATTGTCTGCATCGAAGCTTAATCAATGGGCATGAGAATTGAGAAGGGATGAGCAAACATCAAATTCTGAAAATATTGAACTAAGTCAATATAATGTTGGTGGTTATTATACAGTTGGGCAGCCCCCATTAGATGACTTCCTATGTATATACAGGAAAACATCTCACTCCGAACCTCTGAAGGCAGTCTAGGGCCGCTGCTAACATTTGTATTTGGCATTCATTTTCGAACTTCAACATGATCAAGGCAATCCTAGTCATCGTCAGTGCTCATAAAACCCCCAATGAAGCCAGCACCATTGCAATTCTACAAAACATCTCCTTCTCGCCACTGTCAAAAAACATACCTAGCAAGTGATTCAAGGATGCGAAAAGCTCAATACAGAAGGCTGAAAGACCCCTTAGTTTTTCCTATACACTTCACTCATATCGATTCAAATTAAGATTGGAGAGAGTTCAGTCCAATGTGACTGTTTTGTGACAAGTATGCAAAAAAAAAAAAAAGAAATTAACGCATAGCTTTAGGTTTATCAGAGGCGCAGTGCCTGCCAAATTATTAAACAGAAATATATTTCACTACATTGCCCTGACGCCACTTCAAAAGGAGAAAAAAATTAGACCGGCCAGGCCTAAACTCTTTAACCATCAGAATTTGAACCTTTGACCAAGTCTTTTCAAGTCAATAGGGCCTAAACTCTTAAATGTCATTACAATAGTCAGCTTACCATTTCCGTCACAATCAGCACAGATGACACTATTTGGTTTGGTGTTTCGGTTACTGGGGTAAGCCTATTAGCAAAACAGAAAAGCAGTCAGATGCATGGGAACATATGCCAACTGCAGAAATTGAGTCTGATCAGAAACCGAATCAAATTCAACATTACATTCATGCAAAAGGGTGAGTTCTGACCTTGGCTTTCACAGGGTGAAGTTTAGCCATGGAGCTGTCTTGAAATGCACCATGGTTAGAAAAACCCTTTCGATCATGAGTTCTAGCATTGAATATTGTCCCTGGAATCAATGTTACAGAAAAAAAAGATGCAAAGTAAATATCAGTTAGAGGTTTGTTGTATAGAAAATGGAAGAGCGGAAGAGAGGAAGTAAATGGTTTTTGTGTGGAAATAAAGGATAGTAAAAATAGTGCTGAGTTTGAAGCAGATGTCATTAGGAGAGAGATTAGAATACTATTTTCTGACAAGCATCGGCCACTTGCTTTGTGCTGCAATGGCTCATGGTTGGCAATCAAGGTTGATTTTAATTGTCAAAATCAAGTTTCTGAAAGCCCAGCTTGCCAGATAATTGGGTTTGCTAATGGGCCTATTTGGGTTACTCCCACTGTTTTACATGATTTACAGGCAGAAGATCATAAATTAATAAAAAAATAATTTTTTTATAATTCGTTAGACTTATTTATTTAAATTAATCAAAAAATATTGGACAAATTCAAATTTCTTATAACTAAAAAAAGAAAATTTCAATTGTAATAAAATTTCCTATTTATGTTAAATTTATTTTAATATTTATCAGCCAATTGAAAGGGCCTTTGCTCTTATTAATGCACAATCTTTTACTAGTTTTATTTATTCTCTTTTGGGAAAATTTTAATACTATTTTTATCATTTACTGACCAGAAAAGACAAGGCTTTTGGGCCCAAAATGGGTTGGGGTCAGGACCATGGCGTCATGTCTCTTTCCCACAACTTGCAGTGATCCAGCGGAAAGAAGAGGAAGATGGTAATTAATGAGGATAAGCAAGGGCATTTTGGGAACAAAAAATTTCCGCTGTATATATTGATCAATCCTTCGAGTTCACAAATCTCTTTTTCTCTCTCTTCGAAATTCTCTTTGCGCTCTCAAATCTTATTTTTTGCTTTTAAGAGCTAACCTTTTCCTTTGCAGACTTTTTCCAAACCCTAACCCTAGAATCCCCCCCAATTTTCTCCCTCTTTTGATTAATTTCTCAGGTGAGTCTCCCAAATCTGTCTCACTTTGAATCCCTAATTGTTTTTAGTGTCTCTTCGGTCTTTTTTTGCTAAAACCCTAACATTATTGGATTGGGATTTTGTAGAAAAATGGGAGAAACAAGGGATAACGATGCTTATGAGGAAGAGCTTCTCGACTACGAGGAAGAAGAAGAGAAAGCCCCTGACTCTGTCACTGCTAAAGTCAATGGCGAGGCAGCGAAGAAGTGAGTTTTATTTTCTTTTTATTCCTTCTTTTTCATTTTTTATTCAAATATTTCTTACTTTATGGAATGGTGTTAATTTTTAAGAGAAAAAAAGAAATTTTGAATAAAAATATAAATTTGGGCAGAATAATAACTTGTTGTATCAGTTTTTTTATGGTTTCAAATGATTTTATTTTGCTGTTGTGTGTGATGGTAAATAATCCATGGGAAAGATTTTTGTTCTAATTTTATCTTTTCTCTGTCTTTGTAGGGGCTATGTTGGGATTCACAGTTCAGGATTCAGAGACTTCCTTTTGAAGCCAGAGCTTCTTCGGGCCATTGTCGACTCTGGATTTGAGCACCCTTCCGAAGGCAAATTTCTACACTCCTTTCCTTTTTAAATATTTGTTAACCTACATATACAGTTCCATCCCTAAAATCCAAAAATTTAAGTTAAATTTCATAGATGTTGTGTTCTTTGGCGTTCTATTATGTTTTTATTGTTTCCATTCTTGGGACTTATGTGCAAAATGTTTGATTTTGATGTATACCCTCTTTTTTATGTTTAATGTGTAACTTCTTGTCCAGTCTAAATTTTACTTTGATGCATTGTCTTTGCAGGTAATATAACACTATCATAAAGTTTCAATTAAAAGGATCACGGAGGTTATATTTTACTTACCAGGGATTCCTTCCATACAATTTTCTTTGGATCTTCATCAGTGCAACATGAATGCATTCCCCAAGCTATACTGGGTATGGATGTCATTTGTCAAGCTAAATCAGGGATGGGGAAGACTGCAGTTTTTGTTCTATCATCATTACAGCAGATTGAACCGAGTCCAGGACAAGTTATTGCCCTTGTTTTATGCCATACGAGGGAGTTAGCTTACCAGGTAAGAACAAGTTCTGCATCTTTTCTTGGAAGCTTTCTGGTGATAAAATTTCCCTTTCTATTCTTGAAGTTATATGATATACATAATCTCATTTTAGTTATCCCCTTAACTTCTAGATTTGTCATGAGTTCGAGAGGTTCAGTACTTACCTGCCTGATATCAAGGTTGCTGTCTTCTACGGTGGTGTCAACATCAAAGTTCACAAAGATCTACTGAAAAATGAATGCCCCCACATTGTTGTTGGGACACCTGGAAGGATATTGGCTCTTGCAAGAGATAAAGACCTTTCTTTGAAGAATGTGAGGCATTTCATTCTTGACGAATGTGACAAGATGCTTGAATCACTTGGTATGGTTTTCTTCACCTGAATCTAGTTAAGCGTATAGGATTTTTAATGTTTCATTTACTTCTGCTGTTCCTTCTGGTATTTATTCTACTTATCTTCTGCAGACATGAGGAGAGATGTCCAGGAGATTTTCAAGATGACACCTCATGATAAGCAAGTTATGATGTTTTCTGCTACACTCAGCAAAGAAATTCGTCCAGTTTGCAAGAAATTTATGCAAGATGTAATGTTCCATGGCTAATACTACTTAAATTTAGAAGTATCTTTTTAATTAATGCCCAGCTTTCGCCGAGAGTTTTGTAAAATTTTACATCTGATGGGTCCATCACTATATACTTGCCATTGGTGTTGCTTGGACGCAGTGGCTGCAGCTAGTCATTTATGGGTTATGCAGGTCAAATGGGGAAGGTTAGTGATAAATTCATAGGTTTGCAGTGGTTATATCTTTGTCGTAGTGGATCCGTGTAAGCTGATTTTTACTTTTGGCTTAAATTTTTTAGTTATTCTCTATTTAGGCTATGGGTATGGGCTTGGATTGGGGGTAATAAGAAGGGTTGGGCATTTCCTCGTTGGGGTGCAGTGTCCATCATGTAATGAAAACTTTGTTTTTGAAGAGAACAGCACTTTTTGGCTGTAACTAAGTAACGAATCTGCAAGGAGACAAAGCAGATGGACCAGAATCTCAATTCAAGGGATGTCCATCCATAATTCATTTCGTACTGGATTCCATTTGCTTGAGGAAGCTCCCTAATATGATTTACTGTGACATTTGTTCCTTTCAGCCAATGGAAATTTATGTTGATGATGAGGCCAAGTTGACCCTTCATGGTCTTGTGCAGGTACATTGCAAGAAGCTGGCTCATCCTTCATTTGTTTTTTGTTTTATAACAGATTGTTTAAGATCTAATCAACAAAATGATTCCAATGTCAGCACTACATCAAATTGAGTGAGCTGGAGAAAAACCGCAAGTTGAATGACCTCCTTGATGCATTGGATTTCAACCAAGTTGTTATCTTTGTCAAAAGTGTGAACCGAGCAGCTGAGTTGAACAAGTTACTTGTGGAATGTAATTTTCCCTCTATATGCATTCACTCAGGAATGTCCCAGGAAGAAAGGTTTGTACTTATCATGCATCATTTATTCTTTTGGTACCTTGTTGTTTTTTTTTTTTTTCTTTATTAAGACTAGTTAGAAGGACTTTAGTTTACTTATATTCTTGTGAAATAAATGACACAAGGCTCTTTATCTTGTATGACGATCCCTATTAAATGTCTTTTAGGCATTCTTATATTCATGTTGTCTTAATGCACCAAGTATGGAGGTTCGGTTGTGTATTTTGCTATAGCGGATGCTGTGGTTTATGCAGGAACCTTGGAATATTTATTTTGACATGACTTGGTCAAGTTGGGTTATGCAGCATGGTCGTTTGTTGTCTTTTTTTATTATTTTTCTTCTTAAAAGAGTGATGCATCATACATTTGAAGAGAAATACTGCCTTTTTTAACTTGATTTGTGGTTTTTGAGTTTACTAAGTACTATTTTTTCCTGTGATCCCAAATATAGGTCTTGTTTTAGGGTTTGGCTGGTGTATCTAATATGCACTTATTAGAAATAATTTCCTGTTATCTTTTGGAAGTTCAGGGTTTTTTTTTTTTCTTTCTTTCTTTCTTTCTGTTCCTTTAGGGTAATGTTCCTTGCTTAAATAAAATGTGGTTTGGCTTTTTCCATTTAGCTTTGGTTGATAATATATGTATCCAATCTGACCCTTTTGTTTTAATGCTAACTGATACTTTGTAGGTTGACTCGCTACAAGGGTTTCAAGGAGGGGCATAAAAGAATTCTTGTGGCCACAGATTTGGTTGGAAGGGGAATCGACATTGAGCGCGTTAACATTGTCATCAACTATGACATGCCAGATTCTGCTGATACATACCTGCACAGGGTACGTTTTGTCTCAACTGCATTATCATGCTAGTCTTGCTTCTGTTTTATGCATATAAGTTATCTGAGTCATGTTGTTTCTTGGTTCTTTGGCAGGTTGGTAGAGCTGGTAGGTTTGGTACCAAGGGTCTTGCAATTACATTTGTTTCATCTGCTTCAGATTCTGATGTGCTCAATCAGGTTTGGGTTTACAACTTCCGAACACTGTTTGACCCATTGACATGTTCACCTCTAATCAATTTTGTTCTATCCATTGCAGGTCCAGGAGAGGTTTGAGGTGGATATAAAGGAGCTTCCTGAGCAGATTGATACATCTACGTACAGTAAGTTTTTTTTATGTCTTCCATCTGCTTTTGATATAACTAGTGTGGACCATTTATGTTTTTGTTAATGATTTCAAGGCATTGTTAGAATGCTCTGTTCGTAGCTTGGTTTAATCATTTTGTGGAAGGTGTTTTGCTGTACTCGTTGCCACCATCAGTTTTTGGTTGGCTTAATTTCATAGTATAGTTGCCTTAAACATTCTTTCATCCTGCGTCCATATCTCCTATTCACTTGTTTGATATGTGCCTTTAATTTGTGACTGTCTTCTTAAACCTTTTGTTCAATATGTTGGCAGTAAAGATATGGATGTCAATTTTATTTTCTCACTATACATGGTTCGTAACCAAATTTTCTTATGCATTTCTATTTTGTTTTATGTAGTGCCATCATAATGAAGCAGAGTCTCGTGCCCAAATCAAGAATCAAATTTGTATGGTTGCTGGAGGCCATGTGTATTTGTTCTTATAACTAATGTGGAATGTGCTTAAAATGATTTGCTTGGCAGGAGCAGCAGATGCTCTACTTTTCGACTGCTGCTTAAGAAAGAACTCAATTGGGATTTAGCTATCTGTAGGGATATTTTCCCCTTGTAGGAAGGTTTTTGCGCTCTTCTATGACTAGCAAGTTGCATGCTACTATATTATTATCTGTTATAATTTGGAGCATAACCTCTTTAAGTCTGATTTTTGGATAATAATATTTGAGTTGCAATTTTCTCTTTAAGATTTAGGGTTTAATCAATTTCGTTGTTTTTCTTGCTAATGCTATAAAAATGTCTTGGAGTGAGTTTATCATAGGAGAATCCCTATGCAAATTTACATGTTAATTTGAGCCTTCTCTTTTTTTTTTCCCCCCCTTTTTTGAGAAAATTCATAAAACGAAATTGTCTTTAGATATTAGTCTTGAGTAGTAATATTAGTTAAGTAGTTAATTTGATTTTCGGTGGTGGGGGGGGGGGGTAGTAAATCGTAAAATGAATTTTCAATTTGTGAGGTTTTAGTGTTACATTGGAAACGGGGCCGGCCCATCGGTTCTCCCAGATATTGGGGGAATGTCACATATGCAATGTTCTTCTTGGGTCAGTCGCTGTAAATCAGCCCAGAAAGTGCTTGGAAGGGAAACAAACCGGGTAGCCAGCGATTCAAAACTTGAGGACCTCAATTTCCCTATTGCTATGGAGGTAAAATTAATTAGTTAATGATGTAGGACGGATGGCAAGAATTAAAAAAAAGAATTTCGTAGCGTTTCATGTGCCAAGTATTATGGAGTTATTGTCACAACTGAAAGCTTGTATATATTCTCTAGTTGAAAGGTTGTGGCTTTGTCAATTTTCCTTCGACTTTGGAGCACCTCTGTAATGAATCTAATTCGTCTTAAGGATTAATAATTAAACAAGTATTTATAGCGCGTTTTTCAGCGGTTACGGTTTACATCGGCTGAAAGGAAGTCCATTTCTGTGAAAGGTTATGGATATTCTATTTCTGTTAGAAAGGAAGTATTTGGTGTGTGATTCTTGTTTGAAAAATTTTATATATATATATATATATATATATTTATATATATATATATTTGTGATAATTTGTTTGAAAAATTACTTCTGTTTTATATTGTAGCTCTCATTTGCAGCCATGTTCACGCTGCCATTACCCTATACCTTCCTAGAACAAGCTTCTTTAACCTCTGTCATTGAACCACTTGCTTTCTCTTTCCCCTCCTTTGATCCTACCAGTTGTACTAATGGCAGCGTAATCTGCATGGGCTCGGTGACTGGCAGCAATGGATTCCATTTGAATTGCTTTCTGCTTAACTGTTGCAAGTATGATAAATTGATAATTGCTACAAAAATGTCAGTTTACAATTATAGGGAAATATTAAAAAGGATACCGGTACTGAGCATATTGATAGTTAGTGAATCTTCATTTATCATACTGGCTATAGATACATTCAAGTGGTATTGAACTTATTACGAACAACAGTGTCTTATCAGCATTAAATGATATCCAAAGCCCATGACTGCGCTGGCCAAATGCATCATCGGTCCAAACCGTACCCACTACCACAAAGACTGTTTTATAGGTATACTGCATTCATTTCATTTTTGTTTCATCAATTTCTTTGCGATATTGATGCATTATTACAAGTCTTCCCCCTGTTAGTTATTTCTCTTTTGGTTTAGAATAGAGCTCCTTTTCTTGTGCCACGGAAGATCATGCGTTGCCTGGTAAAGATGGTGATGACTCCTCGGTCCTCACAAACTTATTGTGTGTCTTTGAGATCAGCGTCAGCATCTATTGGTGTCAAATAACAATTAACATTGCAATTCTGTTGTTAAATCATTCATGAGGGACGGGATTGAGATGTGACACCTCCTTTGGAAGTCGCATGTGTTACTTGTCTCGACAGTGACTTGCCTCTACATTTTCAAGGTTTCAAAGTCATTAACATGGTTTGTTGGTGTGGTTTGATAATCGTAGCACTGGATCTAGGGCTGGATCCTACGCTGGAATCCCCCCCCCCCCCCCCCCCCACACCTCTTTTTGCTAGGTGGTTTTGGCCCCAGACTTGGCAGGATTACAAATGCAGTTCATTATGATTACAGACCCTACTTTAAACTTTTTGGTCTCGACGAAACTTTGCTTGATTATGGTTGTTGATTTGGTCCCACTAGAGCTTTAACTGAGTTCTTCTTGTTTGAACTTTCGGTAAGATGGCACTATTTTCCAAGGATTGTGTGGATGATAACCGGAACCAGCGCACGGACATGTCAGAAGTTGTGCTCCGCCTTTCACACATTTTCATGAGCACTGAGGAGTGGGAGAAACAACCGTGAAGTCAAACAGAATCCTGAGAATTGTCGGTCCCTGCCTCCCTGGCTCATAGGCCTCATTTTTACCCTGAATCTTTGGGAATGCCAAGTGATTGTAAACCAAACAGAAATCTTTTTGGGACAGGAAAATAATTCAGAGGTAGCCTTCACATTTACAGAATTAGGAAAGAAGAGAAATCAGAATGGAAATTGCCATGAAACTGCTATATGATATACAGATAGTAACACAAGCAGCCCGGAAAATAGCGGCTTGAATAGAAGGTTGGCAGCTAATTCCAAATCCTAAGAACATCGAGAAAAGTTAAAAGCAATAGAATTGGAAATAGAATACTGAACCAATTGTAAAAAAATTCTGTAGGAGACTTATTTAGTTATATGATGTCACATGGAAGTTTGAACTCTGAACCATCCCATAAATTTCATTGAATGTAAATTTCCTGAAGCGCAACTGCACATGTAAAATTCTTTCAAATTGAACTGCTTTGTGTTATCTGTTATGAAACTCCAAGAGAGAATGGTTTCCCTGTCGTGTCTCTTGTCGGTTTTTTCTGCTTGGAGATAGCAAGTCTGATGTTTTACATGTCAAACATGAGACTCTCCAACCCCCTTTTGCAGTGAGTGAAAAACGCTTTAGATACGACCAAAATTACTGTCAGAAATGCCCGTAGGCCGTAGCTTTGCAGAATCATCCGTTAAAAATAACCAAAGGCCAAGAGATGATATATAAACGAGAAAAAGAAAGGACAAAGCAATGACTAAAGACAGAAAAGAATACTGTAACGAAAAGGGTAACTTTTTACAGGTTGGTACGAAAAAATCATTACTGCTTTCATTGCTTTATCATTTGGGGAAGCCCTTTCAGGAGGGAGTTTACTGTCCACTGTAAAGCGTTGAAGGAAGTTAGAAGTTAGGTAACGAGGCACCATCACAGTATTATATCTCTCTCTTTTTGTCTTTTGTTTGGTACCGACATTTTATCTATCTAGCTGTAAACAGCAATGACGTTTCTTTGTTTTCTCTGAGGTTTTCTTGGACCAGAAAGTGACAGACGTAAAGCTCCTGTTCAATCATTAATTATATTGAGCTTTTCAGATTCCAACCAATTTGCAGACGTTGTCTGAATAAATCTAGCCATTACACAAGGTTGGAGAAGAAATGAGCATCAATATTCAATAAACTTCAAGAAATGGACAACTGCTCAGCATTTTCAAAGGGCATGTGCAGATTTGACAAGGAAAACTCAACATATTTTAGCAAATTATTATTTCTTCATGAACAATCATAAAAACCAACGTTATTCTCTAAATCAGAAATTTCCTGCATTGGCCTTTTCAAAAGGATTTTTCATCTAGGTGTGGGGCTCCTCATGATCCTCTCCCTGATAGCAGATATATTATATAGTGCAAATATAATCTGCTTTGAACACTTGTTGGCAGCTGCAAATCATTCATTCACAGTTGGCTTCCTTGTTATTGGAAAAGAGTGACCCCTCCCCCAGATCAAGAAGAAATTAAGAAACCATAGATAAAATCAAGCTAGTGCCCACTATCAATTAATTAGAATATCGTATAGATGCCCCAAATTGAAGTCTTGCTGACTTGCTCATTTCCAAAACACATTTCCAGGGGCCTCCTTTTTCTATTGGCAAATTACATGGATAGAAGAACCTGTTTCTTTTTTAATTATTTGTACAATGACACAAAACCTGCCTTAGTAAGCAGAAAAGTGAGATTTACTTACCTTTTCAAATGGGACTAATATAATAGTTAAAATATGAAGATGATTCAAATACTTTTTCATAAAAGACAGTCAAGTTAAGACTCTTGTTATCGACTTAGTGGCATGTGGATGTTGGTGCTCGAAAGTTACGGATTTGAGTGTGTTTATGCGCATAATGCTCTTTTTAATAATATAAATATGAAGATAAAGGGTAAAAGTTAAAATAAAAAACTCTTATTAAATAAATATTTTATCTCTAATTATGATTATTTATTAATATTGGCAATAAGATATCATGGGATGACCATATCTCACATGCAACATGCATATATTGATCTCACTACTAATTTATTCATGATTATTATGCTTTTAATTAATTATTAATTCAAAAAATATGCATTACTCATCACTCACCAGGGAGAGCTAGTTGCATACACTCTCTTTGTTCTTCACATTATTATCTAATTTATTTTAATAATGGTGAAGCCACATGCATAAAATTTGCATGAATTATTTCAAACTATCCACATTTGAACATTAGATGAACAACTATGAGTTTTTCACATCATTTCTTTTTTTTTTTCTCTATATATTGTAGTAGTGATTTAGTTCCATTTCATTGTCAAATTTCATGCTTTGGGAACTAAGGCATAAAATGAACATTTGGATTTAAAACCAACATATTATATGTCTTATATTGTTGATAAATAGTGAAAACTTAAAAAAAAAAAAGACATATTTGCATTGCCACCATTTTTTTTTATTTGGGTATATTTATTACTATCATAAATATGATTTTTTTTTTGAAGATCAATGAATTTATAAAATAGCAAAAACTTTGTAATTATGAAAGATAAAAAGCAAAATTAGAAAGGACTATTTGTTACTAGTTTTTCTATTCAAAGTTTTTAAGAAATCAGATTTTTAAATTTAAATTTTAATATTTTATCAACAAATTATATGATTTATGACACATGTAAGTAGATACTTGCATATATATTTAGTAGATTTGGAAAAAAAAAATTCAACCAATTGTAAGGAAGAGATGGAAAAGGAAGAGTTTGGATTTGGTAACCCATAATAGGGAAGTGGTCAATAAAAAAACTGGTCCAACTCAAACTTTGTTGTTTTGTTAAGCATTCAACAAGTCTGCTTCTAATTTTCTTTGTTAAATATA